ATAGCTGATTTAACATATTTTACTTGACAGAATGGTAACCAAATACATAATTAACGCAATAATATACACTAATGTATGAAAATAAAAACTCGCTAGGATTACCGGTAATGAATAATTAGACAAACCGGTATAAACGTGTATTAAATTATTGACACCAAATGACATTTAAAGAATTAATAAGTCTATAATTTATACGGCTAACCATAGTAAGCTGTTTTTATATGTGATTGTAATTTATTCGGTTATCAGCTAAAATATAACTTAATAATTAAAATATAATATACCTAACAATGTTATTGTCAATAAATTATATTATTAGCAAAATCATGTACTTATTACTAGACGAGTATTGATTAACATCTAGTAATCAAGCACTCGAGTATCTTTTATTTTATACTATTCAATCATAGTAATAAATAAATAATTGTATTAAGAACGTCTCCGGTTAATTATCAATAACAATTTAATTAACTGATTTAAATATATATTTTATAATAATCTTGCCAGAGATGAGGCAATTATATTTCCCGAGTTTGGTATTTTTAATATATGTGATACAAAATACTAAATTCCAAAATAACGTTAATTAAACACATTTTTTATGCCATAACTGACGTGTTAGAGTGTAGTATTGCTTGAAATTATTATAACTATTCAAAATTGTACACGATAAATTTTAAAAAATATTAAAACTGAAATGTATTTTAAATATTTCAACTAAAACTTTACCCGTCGCTGTCAGACCAATAGTTTCGAAAGTCGTGCCTTTTGCTCGTTCGTATATTTTGTATCTGACGGTTTTTGACAATTGTGTGACAGCACCTCACTGGCAGGGCGACGTTCAGCAAACGTCTTAATTGATATCATCCCAAAAACGTTGACATCGCCATCGGCGGACTTTGTTGAAGTTTGCACCGTCAAGAATAATTATTTAAGATGACTAAACGACCGCCACGTACAACTGTGTGGATAGCATCTGTGCTTTTAAAAGTAGACATTTCATAATGTATTGTATTAGTACAACAGCTCTTCTCTCGCGTTTCAAAGGAAAGCCAACACGATGTACTTATTTTACGATATTATTGTCGTGGTTAACAAACCACCAAGGGCTTTGCGGGTAAAAGCTGATTTATATTCTGCTATCAATATCGATATTGTATAAATCATATTATATTGAACGACCAACCGGCCCACGTTAAATATTTTTTCATTGATCCACAGACGCGGTATGGCGAACGGGTATTCGAATGCAATTACATTGAGCAATACATCTTTTAGCACACCTGTCGAATGCCGTCTGCTATTTAAATACAATTTGTATATATATATATGTGTGTACAGGGTGTGCTACGAAGTACCACAGCATCTCCTCCTGGGAATATTGAGATTTACAAATGTAAAGTTCCTGCAAATATCTAAAGTTATTTGATTGTATATAGACTTCAAACGGTCGGTTTTTTTTTTGAAAGAATGATATAAAAAAAAAATATTACACAGTAAAAAAAAAAATTATAAAAGGAGTTTAGTGTTCACCAAACGCCAATAACCTTATACCTATCTTTTGATCCTGGTAAGAGATTCTTTTTTGTTTTTCACGTTACCATGGCCACCTTTGTTCTATATTGGCTTTCTCGTGATTTAATTTTCAGTGAACGCAGAATTCGTCTTCGAGCAAGTTATATTACTGTTATGAAAAAAATAATTGTTCACCAAACCTGTCCTCTTAACTTACTCCGTAAGCTCACACAAATTGTTTAGAATGTACCATACATTTTTTTACTATGTATTTGACTCTTTTGGCCAAAACTTTTTTAACACCTGATCTTTTTGTGCTGCCCGTGCGGTGTACATTGTAAGAACACAAGCCGTGGGTGCATCTAATATCAGCTATTGTCGATGTAGGGTTTTACAATACACAGGCGAGTAGCACAGGTGTATAATCTCATACTCAACAAAACTCACACATAGGATTTGTTCACCCCCTCGTTGCCACCCGGTTCCCGGCGAGAATGTGTATCTCACGAGATGTTATGATTATTATTATTATATTGTTGTTATTATTAAACGTCAAAATCCGCTTTGGTAGGGAATATTATCAAAAAAACCTAACCTAACCGACGCAACGAAGCTGCTACAGTAAAAAAAAAAAAATAAACCCTATTGGAATAATTACTGTGTATGACATCAACCGTCTGATCGTTGGCTTCCCCAGCAGCCCTCCTCGTGTATATATATAAGTACAGGGTACACATACGATGGCCTCCGTATTATGTATAATAATAATATCTCATTAAAAAATATTATTCCGCGTGAAACGCACTGTATAATATAATATAGTGTTGTACATATAAGTAATAACAGTCTGACGGCAGACGCGTCGGGGCAGATATACATATATATATATATTTGTTTAATTTTTTTTTTTTTATGATATATTTTCTTTTTTGTCTTTCTTTTTACCATGGGTTTTTTTTTACACGTGTTCGGCATCCATCCGTTTCCCATGCGACACCGCACAGGCGTTTCATTAAACGATACACGCAAACGTCTACTTAATATAGTCACATTAAAACGTGTACACTATCATCTCGCTCGCATACTCTTTGGGGGTTTGTTAAAAACTTATGGGTTTTGTATTTTTCTTTTTTTTTATTGTTAAAAAAAAATTGTGTTCACATTTACTCTCACAAGCGTGGGATCTAGCGCTGTATACGAATGGTCCTGAACGGTTATAGAATGGACTTGTGCTTAATCCTATGAAGTTACCAACGTTTTTTGGCAATCGGTAATTAGGTAAGAAATCAGCCAACCTGATACTTTCCAATAGTTAAGAGTTGTGTCAAGTCGTCAAAGCTCGATGCTAGACTTGGAGCTTATACGTGTGCACGACATAAGACAGTAAAAAAAAAAATATATATATATATGTATTAATTGAGCCATGTGTTCACTTGTCCGTTAAGTCTAAAATTATTGTTTTTTTTTCTTTCTTATAATTTAACATCTAAATTAAAACAAAAAACATACAAACGTAAATTACACTATTTCGCCGACCGTAATAATTAATGGGTACTTTTTAATTCGGGCACTTAATGTCCTACGACTTAGGGGGCTAATATATATATATACATATAGTTTAGAGTATCAGTTGCGTGCGAGACGGGTTAGCCGACCGGAAACGAAAATATAGTTTTAATTAAAACAAAATTGATAGAACCGATTGATTCGCCGCTATAATACCACAGCTCTATATTATATTATTGTGTGCCGGTCACGTCCCGTTCTTTGTATGGGTCTTAGTCCTTATATTATTATTATTTTTTTTTTTCGTTTCGTCGCTTTTGGAAACTTAATTACGAACCGGACTTTGGTTACACACATCACGGAATATAACGTAGGCAAGCATAAACCCCTAGACACCACGCATCTTTATTGTTTCTTTTTGCTTATTTCGCAGGCGTTTTGTGTGCAGGGTAGTCTCTTTGAAAAAGGCCAAGGGTGTGCCGAACACGTGTAAAATATATATTACAACAATATAATATTGTATTCGACGACAAACGAATTGTCTACAGGATGATAATAATATGATATTATTATCCAGAGACACGTGCGACCGGAGTAGGAAAATATATTCTATTTATTGCCCAGCGTGGTTGTGCCGGAAGAGGAGGCGGTTGTAGTGCTTGGACGTTAACGGATTGACAACCGAAACCGTTTTGGGGGCAAAACTCCAAATGCAACATGTATTTGCTCGGCGCAGACTAATTGATGAACCTCGAAATTACCACCATCTTATAACAGTGCTACAACTTACTTAGTCAGTGGGCTGTGATTGCATCTTTGCAAGCACGGTTTCCATCTAAAAACAGAACCTAGTCCGGAGCTTAAGACGACCAGTTCTTTTTTTTGGGGGGGGGGAAGAGCTGCACGGCCAATCGATTCGTTGACTATTTTTACCAGGCGAGGCGAGGGTCACATTGTGTTCACATTATACTTACATATACAATGTGTCTGCGTCTTCATCTTGTCCCTTAATAAATAGCGCTTTCCATTCCATTTTAAATATTTAATTAGAATTTTCAAAATTATTTACTAAAAGCGTTAAACGAGTATAGTTAATCCTATCCACATTAAAATAATACACTTATTACCGTTTTGAGTATATTCGTTTATGAAGTATATTTCATTGCGGATAGAGTTTTATCATAATTATATAGTTAAACTACAAGTTACAATTTATAGTACTAATGAACTTATAACATTAAATTTCTACAATTAACGATTAATTAATTTATACAACAAGTATTATCGTTGTTGTTATGATGACGTTTTAATATGTATACTCTTTGTCCTTAAGGGCGTATAATATATTCAGAAATATATTTTAATTAAAAATACCTATAGCCGAGGAAAAAAAAACTTTGTAAATTTTGGTAGTAATTTAAAACTTACCTCGACCACTTAATTTTGTTTCAAATCTGATCACGGTCATCGTTTTTAAATATTTCATCCCGGTTAGTAGATTGACCACAACGGATGGAACTACTCCTAATTACTACCCAATTAACCCGATGTCTAACTCAAGTACGAACCCCCCCCCCTCGAGTTTAACCGACCTCTTCGATTAAAGCACCGATTAAGATGGCGTCTCATCGACAATGTTAATGGTAAAAATATGTTTACACAAAACAAATAAAAGTAGTACCTTTCGAAGTAAATAATAAATAAAATAAAATACAACTTTTTGTTAACCTACGATAATAAGAATGAGATATAAGGTTTACTTTGTATAAGGTATATTACTACATAATGTGTGTTACTATATATTATTATATCATCACAATGACATATCGACAACACCGTGTACATAATATTATACAAACATTGACCACAACAGAATCGACCAAACGTTGTTTGTTCACATCGGGAGTGACCTTTCCGCTCTTTCGTCTATTCCGGGCTTTTGCTATGGCGACTAATTTTTTTTTTCCTTTTTTTCACAGGCTATCGTAACAATCGGCAGCCCGGTCAGCGACATACTGGAAGGGTCGGACGTGCAGTTCCTGTGCACGGCCAAGGCGAACCCGCCGGAAATCACTTACCGGTGGTACGTCAACGAGCAGTTTGTTTCCGGTGAGACCACTCCTGAGCTGTGGATGCTGAACGTGACCCGCAAGTACCACAACTCGGTGGTCAGATGCGACACCAGCAACGTCATCGGCAGAGCCGACGCCACGAAAGTGCTGAACATCCTTTGTAAGTAATCACACAGTCAGGGTAAGAAAAAGAGCACATAGCTGAGGGATCAAAGCAAGGGATTCAACGAATCGGGGACAATATCACGTTAATCTTTTCGCTGCGGATCGTTTTTGTGTTTACTTATTTATACTTGTCGGTTTTCGTGTGACACAAGCAAGCCCGGCGACGCGATATGGCGTGTACACAAATGGTGTGAACCTTTGCCCAGGGGGATGCGCAGACACGGCTTACGGTCGTTTTGGATTCGGCCAGATGTCGACATTCGTATAGTATATTAAGTATATGTATCGCGTACTCTAACACGTGTGGATCCGGTTCTGTCACATATCTATCACACCACACACACACACACATATATTATACAACCTATACGCATCCAAAGTATTATGGGTTTTTAATATTGTTTGGACAGCAGCAGCTATGGATACCACCGCCTACCTGGTTAATGCGCACTAGACGACTCACGATGATTTATTACTAAATTAAACGAGCGCGCGCGCGCCCCGGTGTAACGTTAAAATATATAAATAATTATAATATACCCACTAATGATGAGTGTGTTTGTGTGTTTACCACTGAACTGATAATAATAATAATAATATCTGGAACGCGCATTTCCGAGTGCTAGGGAGACTTTAACACCCCCCCCCCCCAAAAAAAAAAAAATTCTTACCCCAATCTTTGATTTGTACGCATTAAATTGAAATACGAGTATATTATATTTCCAATGATATTATATTCAGTTCAGCGGTGTTTACCCTAAAATATACCAACGGGTCACCCTGCGTATGGCCACCAATACCCGCAACACATAGCAAGGAAATTGATGTAGGTTTGTTATTATTCGTTAATGAACTGTTATTTTAATCGTTGTGGCGTTCAAACGGACGCGGTCGGATTAAAACTGCCCGGTTCGTCTCATATAAATAAATACCTCTACTCGCCCACGAAATCCGACGGTATGCAGATCGGAAGTATACACACGGGGTATAATAATACCTATGTATACTGGCTGGCGGCTTAATGGCTGTACCTAGGCCGTATGTGGTGCGGTATTTTATTTTAAATTTAATCCTCGTGTGTGTGTATATACTATGCATAGGAGCGATATAGGCGTGGCCGTGGAAAAACGGTTATTAAGATTTCACCGTCGGATTTTTCAATTTATTTTAATTACCCCTTTATATATTTATATAAAAGAACACCCGCCGCCGGTGGTGGTGATCTCTGTACGGCGCTATACCGTAATGTTATGTAATATTATATAGGTAGCGCACCCGACCGGTTGATTGATGCCCGACGTGTGCGTCTACACGTCGGCGGTGTATAATATTCTACAATTTAAATTCGTTTGATTTATTTATGTTGGCGTTTGTTTTGTTTTCGGGGGCAGACAAACCGCAATTCAAAGTCCGTCCCAGAAACGTGCAGGCCGAAGCCGGAAACACCGTGACGTTGATGTGTGCTGTGGACAGTAATCCGGCGCCCGAAATTGTATGGACCCACGAAAAAACTAACAAGGCGAGTATATACCTAATATTACATACATAATTTATTATAGCTACTATACCATTGTACCACTGCGTAGGGTTAAAGTGTTAATTTGCAGTTTGAGCTTGGTCAATGCGAGAGACGGTTGGTATATACACCGTTTGGGTTTTGACACGGCCTTAGTCAAAAAATGACAATAAGAACGCCACCACCACCGCAATCTCTTGCATTTCCTTTTGGCCAAACCGAGAGGTGCGCGTGACGTTTACATTTTTTGTCGAGAGCGTTCAAAGTGCGATTGAAAATCACTAATGGAAAAACGTAATCGGTATTTTACAAAAAAAAAAGAGAACGCCATACTTCACGCCCTGTTGTGGGTCCCATGCCGGCAGACGTACAACCACTTTTACTCTATCTTAAATAGGTACACACACATCTAAATATACGCTTCATCCGTCGACGTCACATCACATATTTCCCAAGTGGTTTTAGTATTTGACACGGCTGTTAACCTTTAACGCGTGCCTCCTCTTCAATGCACTCATTTTTCGCGTTTGTAATACAATATTATATCGCACAGACAGCCAAACTGCCGGGTGTGTGTGCATATGTGTATTTATATAAATCGGTAAACTCAATAAGAATAATAATAATACCCAAATCACCGACCGCCCTAGCATTTACCGGAATAGAATAACGCCAAGGGTAAGGAGGTAAGGAGAGAGGAAGAAAAACGACCGATTTGGTGTTATTAATAGAGACGTGTGTGTGTGAAATGGTTAAGTAAGGAGACGCGTTGACGGACAGAGAAGTACAGAGGGTGATGATTATAGTGTTGCTACCCCACTTGTGTGGGATACAATAAATAAGATAACATCGTTATGTAGGGTTGTGTGTATCGCGTCGTGGCCGTGAATACTGAATAACGATGGTGTATAGACGTTTGGTATATTATATGCTTTTGCTCGCACATCAAGAATACTATATATATTCAAAAATAATACTCAATGAAACCTAATTATCAAATGTCGTCACGCATATTTTGACCACAGTAAAATCTGTGTATGAAAAAAAAAAAAATAACACAATAGGCGCTCATCACGCAACGTAGCTGTAATTAGAATACTGTTGGTTATAAATTATTACAACACGGTAACCGGCAGCAAGTGTCAACGTCTTGGTCTTTGGTGCACAACAGGTGCGGACCGATTTCATTAGGGCAGTTTAGCGTGGACGGATACAATTTTTATCTAATCTGCGCAACAATAATAATAATTGTCAAGTACCTACGACTTTTTTTACTGATTGTTTTTTTTTTTTCATTCTTCTTACAGGTGGTCGGCACGTTGCCCACCCTCTTGGTGTTGGTGTCGGCTTCCACGGCCGGACGTTACTTTTGCCGGGCCACCACGCAGGGATTCGGCGAAATAGGCGCAGACATGAGCGTAGTGCTCAAGAGCCCGCCGGTCATTATCACCAAGTCCGTGCAGTACGGCGTGGTCGGCGACACGGTCCGCATAGATTGCATCGCCTATTCCGTGCCGGTGGCCGACAGAATCGTTTGGACTTACCAGGGCACCGAGCTGGGAGTGCCCGGCCAGAAGTACTACACGGTAATAACTCCATCAAAAGCTACTTTTAATTTTAAATCATATTGTCGGTATTAGTAACGGTCATGAAAGTGGCTCCCCGATACATTATCCGCATCCGTGCACAAGTATAATATTATACATAGGACCACCCTATAGAGGAGCCTTGTGGGCCCGACTTATAGTCCACTTACTATACCAGTACCGTTTCTTTGTTCATCGCGTACAGGTACACCCCCCCCCCTCCCATTAGGACGGAGGGTTGTACGAGTTTTGTTTCTGTTAATTCCGCGAAACGCCATTAAAAAATATTTTTAAAAAATGTGTGTTTATAAACCGAAACCGCATAGTTTATAGTGTATACATGCGACGCGTTGAAAACACGGCTGTGCACCTATGTCGAGCTATAAATTTCGGGGGTTATTATTATTACTACCTTATTTATTATATATATATATATATACACACACATAGTAAACACAAAATAATTAGATTAAAACGCTTAAAAATGTTTATTACCGTATACCCGGACGGTGTTTTATTCATACCTAACTGTAATATACACTGTAATAGCTATAAAAAAAAAAAAATTTAAATGAATAAAACGCGTTAACTCGTCAAACCTCGGCCGATCGCATGACGAATACACATTAGATCGATAGGGTGTTTTTTTATTTATTTTTTATAATATTTTTTAATCGTGTCTCTTGTCCTTCGTCCGTCCGTAAAAAAAAAATGTTAACCGCCGCCGTTTTTGGGCTAATTGAATACACAATATGATAATCGACAAACAGCGGCTATTATCGTTATTATTTTCTACGATATTGCATGATAATTTATAAAAAAAAAAAACACAGAATAGATAAAAGCAAAAGGGTCACTTCAATGTAAACAAAAAAGTGACGGCCATTTTGTAACGACCTTACCTTTCTTATCTATTTAGTACTATCAATTAAAAACAATGATATTACGGTTTGTATTTTATAATGTAAATTTGCTAATTGCTAATGTTATATATTTGTTAAAATTAGTCATAATATTTTCTCATAATATATATATATATCTTCTCCGTGGGAATCGTTATCATTGTCCGGGGCCTGATAAAACGTGCGAAAAATATCTCCCACATGCTTGCACGACGGTTCCAGGTATATCTTAACCGCGTGCTTACTTATGGCCGACAATTGATCCCCGATGCCGTACAGTTAAGTCGTATTGTTAATACCTCTACACAATATAGTCACAGCCGCGGTTCACGTTAGCATACGTTATTATACCCGTTTTGTTTATGCGCTTGGTCGGCCACTGCTGCACCCCTTTGCTCTGTACACATAATATTGTGTACGTTCATCCCCGTTGAACGCACCTTTGGCCGTGTTGTCGCTTTTTAACAATAGGACGGCTTATGTCTATTCTGTGCTTGTCGTGGAAACGCCGACTTAACGCCATAATATACATACATACGAACGCCACTAAAGCTTTTCCCCGTCAGACGCCTCAACAATGGTTTTGTAGAAATCCAGCTATACCGCGAAAACTTTTCCAACTTTCCCATCAAACGGGGAAAGGTGGGATAAACGCGTAAGAGATACTTATTCAAATATCGAAATGACAAGAAGCGTCCGTGTAAAAGTGGAATGTCTAGACATTGCCCGCGTGGAACAATACACACATATTAAATACCCTCCGAGCATTAAGCGAGCATGATATTATACTTAAGTATAGTCGAATACAAATTCATGTTTCTACCAGCACCCTTAGTCTTAAATCATCCATCGCAGTTCATTTGTGTCCTACTTTATACAATATCTTCACATCTGACATACCCCACTCAGGTGCTACATATCTCACCGCAAACTTTGCCGACGATACTGGAATAACATATTTCCATCCTGAATGTTATTCAGGCTTCCTCTTAAAAATCACCTTAACGAATTACCAAAAAAAAAAAATGGTTCATATTATGGAGAATACAAACAAATCTTCCCGTATAACGTTTACCCAACGTTCAATCGACAGTCCCTCCTTATTCGTTAACAACCGTCTCATCCCTAAACAAGAAACCATACCACGGGTATTTACCCGGTTGAAAAGCTTAAATGGGCCTATCGAAACAAAACGTAAATCACTGAACAAGTGGCGCGAAATACCTTTTGGAGTGGAGTCCGGGACGGGATGGTTTTCCAATACCATATCATATGATAACACGGTCGGTGGTTTTGTCTACAGATCTTGGAGGAGATGGTCGAAGGCGGAGAAGCCGTCAAGAGCATCCTGGTCATCAAGGATACAAGAATCGAACATTTTGGCACGTACAACTGCACGGCGTCCAACGTGTACGGGGTCGACTCGTTCAACATAACTCTGAAGGCCAAAAGTAAGACACACCCGAGATACCCAGTTTGTCAATTGCCTATTTATAATATATATTCATTAATCGTGATAATAGGTTTTATTGCTTTTAACGTAGACAGTTTCCTAAACTCGAGCAAGATCGTTGTCGCCGGCGGAGCGTTGGTCGTGGTCGTTGCAATCGTCGCCGCGGTCATGGTGTGTCGCCGATTAAACACAACCGTCGCCGCCCCGCCTACCGACAAGAAGACCACCATCAAAAGTAAGTGCCAATTTTTGTGTGATAAAGCGAACCTCGAAAAACAAATACACCCAGAAGCTTTTCCCCGGTATAGTGTTACCAAAAATAATACAATTACAACGTTGAGCGTACTCGAGTGATGTTTGAGTTACTCGGTGTTAATATTGTTATATTTTGCGGTTTATATTACAAAATAAGAGTCAATGTCATAATTTAAAAAAAACATTTTATTTTTTGTAAGGAAGCATAATATGATAATTTTTTTTTTAACAACACCTTTCAAGGGTGTTTATTTTTATAGTCGCAAAGTGACAGTGACCGTTATCGCTTCGAGACAAAGTTATTAAAGTGTCCAATCATTTCAATGACCTCAAACCCGCCTATGTTAGCCGGACTTACAACCCATTGTTGCGAGTGAATTACTTAAAGTATTTGTCCTTATATATGTTTACCGTTTGAACAATATTATGGCAATTAACAAACAGGGATAGCTTTGGCGGGTAACCCGTGCCCTTTTTAGCCATACCGTTTCCTTTTTCAAACCCGGAAGTACCTAGAGGCTGTGCTTCAGGTGGGCCTAAATAATTGGCATTAACACAGGGTAACACCGGAAACGTTTTGATCAGCTAATATGTCGTTTCGCTATTGATTTGCGGCCAATACAAGTGTTACAATAATAATAATATTATACCGACCGAACGCCGTGCTGGCTCGTTAGATACCGCTTTTGTTTTTCTTCCCCAGAGACACGGACAGCGTGCACTTAAGTCACCGAAAATATAAAACATTAACGTTATAGAGACCATGGTTTAATCGCCTGCGACATCCCGGTCGCTCTTGATTGGTTTTCGGCCGTATCCATCAGATATTATGTTATAGTCCGGTCCTGAATCGTCAGTATAATACACAGTACAATATCTACTGTAATATATTCATGTATGTTATTATTAGTAGTAGTAGTGTAGTACACTAGTGCAGCGATGGTTTACACTATACGACGATAATGATCTATAGAAACGGTGAAACGTGTAAACCCATGGAGAGATCGTAAAAGTCCGATCGTAAACCTACAGACGATACCATTCCCCGTGTATATTATACAATTATTATTATTTTATAGACACACATACACATACATCTGTTTTGTACGGTAAAATCATGGCAACCCCGTCAGTATGATATAGAATGATTACTATAATATGTATCTTACATTATTTTTTTTGTATACCACACTCGAGGATCTCTGTAATTGGGTAATCCGTCGTCGTGTCTAATCAAACGGGAACCGAATAAACGACATTGATATTGTATATTATTGTCTCGGTATAATCGGCATAATACAAGCGTTAAAAACAAATAAAACGTTGATCGACAAGCCGGGTTTGTCACGAGACCACCCTCCACGAGATCAGATGACCGATAAGTTCACCACAGTTATTATTATTACAAAAATATCACCCGGGGCGAAACGTTTTTCTCTTCACTGGCCACAGCTCCTTAAAAACGATTGCCCGGTCGGTTATGATTATCACAGTAGTGTTATATAAAATTGGTCATTTGTCCGGGATTTCGGGCAAAGAAGCTTTCATTGTTTTTTTGGGCGTGATGGACACGACTTACGCCGTGCTGGACCTGTTGTGTTCCCGGTAGTATTTTCACACCCACCCGTTCGGTTTCAATAATATTCCAATTTCCGTTTTCTCCTCGCTCCAAACACTATCATTAGAGACCGCGCACCGGTCAGCAGCAGCACGACGCGTTGGTTACGATTATTAGATTTCTATGTAATTCTGCCCGGTACGTAGTTTCCAATAATCGATAAATATTTAATTTGTTTGGCCGCCGTCGGTCCATTTCCCACGAGCTCCCCCCCCCCCCAAAAACCCGCACAAGTCCTGCAGTTTTCCCAATCGACGTTGACCAGCAAACGACAATAATAATTGGACGATAATAATAAATGACTAACGCGAATGGCTCCCGGCGAGGTGCACGATATTGTTTTTCTCAAAACTGAGCTGTCACACAATGCGCTATAACGTCTATATCGTCGTCTTGTCCTCCGACTTATCTCTGACTCGGATCTCCAAAAAAGTCACTGTCCTAGTAGAAATTTGGTTGATTGTTTGTTTTTTTGTCACACAGATGAATTTGTCGCTGAACCCGACAAGCAAGTATACACTAAGGAGTCGGACGAAGCGTCGAACTTGTCTGACATCAAAATGGAAATGGGCACGGCCGGTTCTTCTTTGAGCAGCACCTACCAATACAAGGCTGACTTTGGCGACGGCGCTGTTGGCACTAGCGTGGTTGCTTCTGGATCTGACCGCACCGGCACACCAAAGAGCGGCAGCGAAACCGGCGGTCCCCGAGCTGGCATCCCCTTGGCCGGACCAGTGCCCGTCGATCCCCGATACTCTGTGGTCTCCACCGGTCAACTGTACTCGATGGCATCTTCCCACGGTGACTACGCCGACCCCATGTACCGCATTGCATCCAGGAGCTCGGTAAGCACAATAAACGGTCATCGGGGAGTTCGTAGCTCCGACCATCTTGAATTTAGAGCTTACAATTTTGAGTGCATTCATAAGAGCTGACAGAGTTAACTGGTTGCTGGCAACGAAACCTAATCATTACATCTCCAGTCTGTTGCGGATTGTCATCTAGCGATTGACAAGCATATGCTTGTCTCATAGGACAAGTACATAATGTTTTTTTTATAAAATACTAAAAGGTAGATTCACAATCGCTGGTTGACAACCATTCTTCATTTCACCTATTTCATAACCCGTGAATCCTACTTTTTGGAGACAGGTATAGGACAACAAATCTCGCAAAACTGATTGTAAGACATTAATTTACTCCTTTGAGCCACGTATCACGTTCAGACAAATATTTATGAATACTACTATAACAAATCCCCCGATACTATGCATGGAAGAGGTTTGGTGTCTGTAAGATGTAAGCAAACAGTGTTGCTCTCTGATACACTCATTGCAGATAGGTTCAGAGCTGACTCTGAACATCTGACCTTTGACTTCGGACTCTTTAAATGTCGGGTTTTTTTTCACACGATTTCTTTGTTACTTTCCAGGACCGACCTGCCAGCAGCAGCAACTACATTGCTGCAGACCGCCTTTACGATATCAGCCCCACGGCAGCTGTCAGTGGACCATCATCGATGCAAGGTAACATGGGTCTGCCTTCCTTGCAGGATCCGGTTACCGGTGGACCTTCCATGAGCGCTGGCAGTCCAGCCACAATACTCCAGTACTCGGCCACGTACGGTAATCCTTACCTAAAGTCCAACGCAGCCCAGTGGACGCCGGCGAATAACCTCTACGACCGACTGGAACCGCCTCCGTACAACGTCATGCGTTCGGGTGGTCAATTTCAGCAAAAGCTACTGCAGCAGCAACTCCAGCAGAAGTCAATGCAAACACAAATACAGAAACAAGGACCCGCGGGTCGCAGCACCTCTGTCGTCCTGTCCAACGGCAACAATTACCACATGGGCACTGCCAAAAGACAAACGCTGGCCACGCACGTCTAAGTACAACAGATCCGCCAGTGATCAAAGGCTGATTCGCATCAAAGTAGCCGAGTATAACATTACGACATTGTTATTAACCGTAAATCATGCGTTGACATCATACCCATCCACCTTCCTAAATAATTTAGACATTGCTCTTGTTTTCACACCAGCTAATAGACTGCACTTGGATAACATAAATAGATCACAGGCCATGAAGAACTCAAGTTTATCGGTACTCGGTATATCAATAATTCATACCCAACCCAGTTAAATGTTTATTTGATTTTTAATGCCAAAGACGTGTGGTATATATTTTTAAATGTAATGATGTCGTATGAAAATGTGAGTTAAACAAATTTAGAATAATCCGATTCGTTAGAATGTCACTCTTGATGTTCTAAGAACGATTATTGATCTCGTCTGAACTCCAAGACGATAGGACAACCCTTTAGGCACTTTTACCCGATCTCTGCACAACGTTTGGACACTTTACCCCTCCCTGGAAATACCCTGCCTGGGCTCTAAATAATAGTAATAGTAGTAAATTAACACGACGGATAGTATTATAATAGTTTATAGTCATAATATATAAGCGTATGGTACTACATCGTTTGTTATTGTACATAAAAAAATAAATAATAATAGTAACCGAGTTTATATCATTTGGAATCATATTGTAATATTGACATTTTTCGCGTGTGTTTATCCTTTACTTATTATGGTATAGTAATAGGTAGTCTGTTTAATAGTTTATATTGTAAATTTAATTTTCATTACCCTTAGTGTCCAAACATTTATATAGATGTATATTATATTATTTTATGAAAACAAAGGCTTCGCACTTAATTAGCCTATACTTACTATTATAATTATTAAATAATTTTACGCGTTACATTATTGTACATAATCGTTATGGTAGATTCTAAGTGTAAAAAAATGAGCAAGGCTCGGTTTTTCAAAATTGTTTTGGAATTGGTTTTCAATGATAATAACACGCTACATCCGTTGTTACCCAAATCAGTCGGACGGTGTACGGTTTGTCTATACTTTCAGATGGACGTGGCAGCTTTCACATTGCGAGGAGGGTGTTTTTTTTTTTAAAGAGAGAGTGTGTCTTGACTTGTAATCTAGGCTGGTTCTGGGTAATATTTTGTTGTGTACTCTTTGATTCGATAAAGAAGTCCATTTGATGTTTGATCACTTAACTGATTTTAAACGATTCGTAACCATATAATATTGTTTATACCTTATATCATCATACATGTATATTTAAAAAAAAATATTGTAATTATTCGCCAACTGTGCGGCTTGTATAGATTGTTTAGACGCCGTTTGTGTGTAAATTGGCTCATCAGGGCTGTCGAGGTTAACCGAAAATGGAACTAGACTATAATATTATTATTGGAGGACTCGGTATCCTATTAGTATAAAACTATTTGTTCGTTATGATATTATCAGCTTAATAATAATAATAGTGTTTAGGCTATATAATCTTAAAATATAATATACACTTATTGGGCCGTGGGGTTAGGCGTATAACAAGATGTGCGAGGGTAAGCTCCCAAGTCGTTCGTTGATATCCAAGCATTCGTCCTCTGCAGAGGGCCGTGGTCGAACCCTGGCTAGAAAAAACTGTACTCCCTGTGTAAGTGACCCTCCCCTATGCCCCTCCCCCCCAAGGACCATAAGTACGCTTTTTGGAACCCCGCACGTTTGGAGGGTCGTGCATAATGTTTATATATTATAAGTCCTTCTAGTGTTTTGAAGTCTGTTTGAGAACGCTCTCTAGATGAAACTATGTAAAATAGATATATTAGTTATTACTATTTACTGTTTAAATATAATAACGTGTTGTGTTTATAAAAAATGTGTAAAATCTATGTATGTTTTTTTTTTTTTGTTATTCTATCGTTATAGAAATGTATAATTTGTTCAATCGTACCATAGAATTATAATATTATAGCATATTGTTTAAATTATATTATTTTATACTCTAGTTATTATTGTGTAAAAAAAAATTTCCATTGACTATAATATGTTATTATGATTAATTTTTGTAATTTGTTTTTATTATTAGGTTCTTGTTTTTTTCCCCAAACGCGTCTCTATCGTGTGCATGTAATATTATTATCATACTTATTATAATATATATATACATATAGTCATAGTCATAAAAATTATAATACATTATATATAAATATACCTATTTGTGTAAGTTAACTATTTCAAGCCATTTGTGAGTTATTATTATGTCTCCGCATGCGCGAGTAAAATAAAAATACATTAAAAAAACCTGTATATTTGTTTTGCTTTACATTTTTCATACTATCATGTGTACTCATCACCCTGGACATCGTGATGTAGTATTAAACATGAATTTAAAACCAAAAACATTACACTAAAATATAGTAGAACTAATAGGTACAAAATTAAAAATATGTTAAGCACACAATATAAGATAGGCACCAAGAAGACACTACAATAAAAGACGTGGCGCGTTCGAACCCGAGAAAACGCCGTTGATTATTAAATTCCAATTTCCTTTTAAAAACTATTGATTAACATACTATTGTATTTTATGCTTGGCATTGTACACTATACTGGTATGTTCTCAATTAACATAAACGCATAACTTATTTCAAACAACATATTTTATTGGCATTTTCCGTACACGGTATTATATTGGAATCCAAACAATCTGATCTTTTGCAATGTCTTGAAAGTTCTATCAAAGGTCTGCTGCGTTTATTCGACCAAATTAAAACGCTTGTTGAAAGGCAAATAAGCATAATAATACAGGCACAATACATGCGCCTCTGCAACTCTGCCAAGCGATGAGCTCAATACAGTATTTTTTTTTTTAGTACAAAACACAAAATTAAAAAAATAAGTTGGGTATTATGTTTTACTAATAATACCTTATCATCGCCATAGTATGGTATGAAATCTCTTAAAAGAAGATTCTTATTCTTGGTTTTTTATTTCCATAAAATTTATTGAACGCCCAGAATAACACATAGAATTTCTTTCAATTATTATATTTTTGCAAAATCTTTATTTATAAAAGGAAAGTTATCATTACTTACAATAGATTTTTTACAAAAAAAAAAAAAAGGAATTACCTGAAAGTCCTTATTAGATTTTGCACTTTGTATATACATTAAAATAAACATACAAATACATTTCACTTGAAATACATACCAATTTTTGTTTTTAATTAAAAACTTTAAGAAGCCTATTCAATTTCAAAACAAATATTTTTTGATCTTAACAATAGTCAGTTTTATAGATAGTGATTATCATTATGAAAATTAGGTACCCACTATAAATTATTTGTTAAATATTCCATTATAAACCTTACCATTGTTGTAGCATCGTTAAAATATTGGTTTTAATTTTCTTTTGTATTTAACACATAACGTTGTCATTAGGCTATATTTGATTTATTATTATTGTCAGCATTAAGCAAACACCAATAACGTTATAACTCATTTGAACGATTGCACACTATACTGGTATGTTCTCAATTAACATATAAACGCATAACTTATTACAAACAACATAATATTTTATTGGCATTTTCCGCACACGGTATTATATTAGAATCCAAACAATCTGGTCTTTCGCAATGCCTTGAAAGTTCTCTCAAAGGTCTGTGTTTATCCGACCGAATTAATAGGCTTATCGAAAGGCTAATAAGCATAATAATACAAGACAAAACATGTGCCTCTGCAACTCTGCCAAGCGATGAGCTCAATTGACCATTTATGATATAGAAAAACATAAAAACAATAGTAATTATATTTTTTTTTCGTAATTTACATAATGTCATTCATTTATTAACAGCTAGAATACAACAAAGAAATAGTATCACCTATTACAACTATAGGTAGTAGAGTTCTACATTACATAGACTTTTTGGTTTACATAATCAGAAAAAGAAATGGAATTTGATTTCGAATAAAGTAGATGCGAAGTACGAGACATTCATTTTACCATATACCACACTATATAATAGCAGGACTTAAATTAGTGTTTTCAAAGATTAAACGTTCAATTATTGTAACTATTATAAATAGTTTAATTCTCCATACCAATATCGTACTTGGCAAAATTGAAAAACAAACGAATCACATAAAAGTCGACGTTGGGCAATATTTGTTTCAAGAATTCGAGAAATACTTGACTGCATATCAAGCCTACTGCTTCCATGTCGTATTGAAATTGTTTTACGCTTTTCAATTTATGGTCGACAGCAAACTTCAAACAAGTGCGTTCGCTCTCCAAGTCCACATCGCTGAGTACACTAATGTTAAATTTATCCGAGATTTTCACCATGTGTTTTTTAATTTTTCCAATTATTTTCCGGATTTTTTTATTTTTATTGGTAATGTGTAAACGTGTGATTGACTTGAGAAGTTTTTTGAAAAAAATCACCTTCTCTTGGTTCGTGTAAACGACAAAGTCGGTTATTTCCTTAACGATCGTCTCTCTGTACTTGGACACGAAAGTCGGTCGGTGCTGCAGCATGTGCAATCCGGCCGTTTGCTCGACAACCGCCAAATGCCTCCAGACGATCCGCAGATGAATCACTACAAGCACGTCGATGAACACGGTCTGATATATGGCCATGTCGGCGAAATCGTCCGAAGGAATGTCCACGGCCTGTGCTTTGGCGTTGGCTTTTTTCAATATTCCAAAAGTGTTTGCCCAATCCATTTCCGGACTGAACTTTTCGAAAATTTCACGCATTTCCGCCTGGCGTGCCAACATCACGTTGTTCAAGCACAAGTGTTCCACCAGGAAACACTCATGTCCGCTGGTAGACAATCCACCCGAGGTCTCGTTGTGTCCAATGAGATTTTTTACCATTTTTAAGTTCTCGCTTATCAACGCCGTGACTTGATCGAGTCGACAGGTTTTCGTCCGCCTACACGAGCTAAACTCTTGCAACCGACCGAACAGCGGAGACGACCTATGCTCGTGGTTGAACTTGTTGGCTGCGTTGCATCTGTTTTCCACCACGAACTGCTGCAATAGGTCATCGGTAAACTCGTGTTCTAACATCACATTGTCTATAGTGTCCTGGTCGACGGTGGTCGTGGCGAAAAGCATCTGCACGCGAAAATGAGTTCTGTTTATGTACATGTGCAGATACCATAATTCGTTGGCGTTTTTAACGCGGCAGTTTTTCAGAATCGCCAACATTTCCATGGCCACTTTGTAATACATTGACATCCTTAGAAATATCGTGGACATTTTTTCACCCCTTGTGTCCATTGCTATCCTGGACGACCGCATGTGGTACAAAGCGCTAAAAACGAATCCGCATCCGAGTCTGGAGATTCGTTCTGACCGCAATCTTTTAAAATCATCAGCCTTAGGTAGGACCACTTTACCGGCGAATGTCACATTGTCTCGATCGTAACCGGTTTGAATGTTTAATAGGGTTTTGTAAGCACTGTTTGTGTCGTTACCGGATAACACTGCACGACAACAGTTAAACGATCCAAAAACACCAACTACGATCGCTAATAGAATCATTATTCTACAAAATTATACTTATGCGAATACGTTGACAAAATTGTATTTTATAAATTGGGTCAACTAAAAAGTACCGTAGCAGTCAACGTGTTAAGAGATAGTAACTCGGTAGTAAAATCAAAAAAGACTCGACCGACAAACTATACGGCTATCCATCATACCCGTCAGTCTGTATTTGCTTAAATAAGTATAAACAATAATGACTCGTTGAAAGTACGTCTTGGAAAACGAATAACTATTGTGTTATTCCACACGACTCGAGGTTCCATCAAATAACTGTCCTATCAAATAAAAATATATTTAAGGTAACTTCAATTTTGTTCGACTAACTAATGACTTTTGTAAAAACCGTTATTTGATAAATACAACTAAAAAAAATTCTGGTCGTTTTCTATGCGTTGTCGTTGAAAATAAAACATTGTTTAGTAACACATACAAAGTATGAGTAGGAGTGAGTATGAATATATACATAAGTTAACAATTTATATTTTTTTATCCTCAGAATTGCCAATAAGAATATCATTTCTGATCAATAGGTGGTAGTTAATATAAAAGGGATTACAGAGGATCGAACTATTTTGTCAATAGGCACACACACAAAATCATTGCTTTTTCAGTTTCGCATAGAATTTTAACTATAATCATGTATTTACTAATAATTGGTAATGAAATAAATGTACAATATTAAATGACAGTCAATTACTTTGTTCATATCCCGTTTTTATATTCTTTAATTTTGGTACATTTTCATATTTCTCTACAGACTTCGATGGTTCGACATAATATGTACCAAACAATTTTTTGTATACACCATAATTCTTCATGCATACCTTTTTTGAGTAAATCAAAAGTACAGAGTAATAGAGTTTATAATTTCTTCAATAGGACAGTGTTTTAAATTTTTTTGTACTTTGACTTGCGACCGAAAAAAGCAAACATAGCAAATGTGTTGGTTACTTTTTTTGTGTAACCCAAACCAAGTTTTTTCTGTCAATAATCATCGGCAAGAAATACATATTTTACTGTTGTGATTTTACACTTGTGCACACTCATTACACTGTTCGTTAATATATTTTATAAAATTAAAGAACGTCTTAGCAACATCTGTTATACGTTGTAGGTTCAATGTAAACATAACAAACTTAAGCAAAATAAGAAAAAACGCGGATAAGTATCAAAAAACTATTACTAAAGATTTTAAATTTTACTTTTTGATGCAGCCGGAATGCATACCGTAAGTTTTAAAATCAATTTCAAACATTTTTTAATTGTTAAACCCCTTGAGATACCCGGAAAATAAACCATTCCGGGTCTTATCAAATTTTTTCTTCGTCCCCGCCAATAAATCATTGTAAAAACTTATTTAAAAAACCAATACAAAAAACCTAAATAATATTATCCGTTAATGCAAAAATTCAATAATATTTACTAGGTATGAAAGAAAAAAAAACTAAATCTGTGATATTATACTGATAACACTGTGTTTGTTATCACACGTTATCAGTGCAGAGATGTTGGTTTTGGCGCCAAAACACTTTCTTGTCGATTCGTGCGGTGATAACAAAGACATTTTTTGGCTGTTGGCATGTTGTTAAATCGTTCGCCTGGCTGAACGCTACTTAAACGGTTTATTGTGGCTATATAGGCGAACGGTTCAATGGCAGACGAACAAGACGCCGGCGACAGTTCCACGGTTGAAAACGACGAAGGACCCGTTGATATAACTGACAAGACGGCACTGACAATGTGGAAAACGCCTCGAGCATTAACCGAGATGACGGTGATCAAAATAACATCTCTGCTTTGTCGAGTACTCCATTGGTTCACAATGAAGAAGACATTGCCACTTTGCAAGCATCAGTCGTCGACGACAATCGTAACGAGCCAAATGCGTCACTAGTAGACGACGAAGGTAGTACTCCTTCGATCGATGACAACGATAGCTGTGACGTACCTAAGGCTGCATCAGTAGATGATGACGATAGTTTTGACGTACACCGGCCATCTTCGGACTTTGACGAGAACGACAAAATAGAAAATGCCAATACGGAGAACTCTCGAAATGATGAACAAGAAAACGACAAGAGTGCAGACAGTGATGATGGTGATTGTGGGCAGAACCTGACTGTAGTCGACGACAACCGTGCACAATCGGCTGGCCACAGTAAAAATGTAGGTTAAATATTTGTTATACTATGGGGAGGGAAAACCGCTGTGTTTCTATTGTTGGGCGATCGTAGCCTCGTTGTACGACTTGACACTCTACAGTGGTTCCGATCACCGGTAATGGAGACGTGGTGTTAAACAAACTACTCGATTCAATTCTTCATAAAAATATAAACTTTGTGTTTTGTAGAAAAAAAAAAGCAAAGTTGATGAAATCAGCAGAGAAACACAACGGTTAATTGCTGGCGATGGACACGTTCGACTGCCATATCACAAGCCCAAACAAAAATCGCTAGGCGATTTCTTAGGCCGACGAAAGCATTTACTTGCTGAGGCTTCAGTTACTGGTTCACATAAACAACTAAGACGAGCGTGGTAAGTATAATTAAAAATGATAAATTTCTTTAAATAATAGTTTAATATTTTATTAATATTACCATTTGTGTATATAAACATGAATTTAAATATTAACTATATATTATACATACTATAAATAAATTGTTTATAGATTATTATTAAAAATTATTTAATTTTAATTTAATACTAGTATTGTACAATATGTATGGCAATATTATGCTTAATGGGAACGGTACTAGTATGATACAATTTTCTTCTACTATTTGTACACATTTCATTGCCTATTTGTTTGTCATAGCAGTATTTTAATTTAAAAGACATTGTTAATATACAATTAATCACATTTTACTGTCTTTTATTTAAACTTTTCTCTGAATTTTGCCAAGAACTGTTAGAAATTACACCGTAGTTAATAATTATTAAAGCTGAAACATAATAAAAATTACAATTTCTTGCACATTTAAGATTATTTTTTATTGTGTTTTAGGTTTTTATGGTAATTTTATGTTTAGGAAATTATATTTCTTTTACTGGTCAACTAAAGGTTTAAGTAAAAAAAGCTTAAGTTCAAATTAATTTGTTTTAAAACGAAAACGTATACTAAACAGTTTTTTAATTTTCCCCTTGATTAACACATCGTTTATCTATAAATCTCTACAAAATTATACCGCCATATATTTTTGAATTAATGCAATTAATTTATTCGTAGGGAAATGATTGAACGTAAAGAACGCAATGTGCATAAATTTTACAATGATGATGGAGTAGTGGACGACCAAGACAGTGACGGCGATAACCCAAAGGACAAAGATCAATTAGATACGCTAGACAAAAAACCTGTTGTCAATAAATTTATGTTGAGCAAATCGACCCTGTCCGCCTCCGTGAAGCTCACTTGTAACGACAAAGATGTACTTGTGTCACAGTCACTGTCATTCAAGAGTTTTGCCGACGACAATGGCGACGAAGGGCTAATTGTCATTGACGATAGGTATAAACGGTTTTTTTTTTTATAGTTAGTTAATCAACGGGATTCCATACTTGTTACTAAACTAGTAGTATGTACTACTTATATGACTAAAATGTAATTACGGGTTTGCCGTGTTTTCAGTTGCAAGTCCGATCCAAAAAAGCGTACCATCAAGAAAAACCTATCTTCTCATTCGGCGGCCAGATCGCACGTGTTGAAACATGACATTTGGAAACGTGTGCGTGCCGCTCGTGAAGCCGGTTTGCGGGAAGTACAGAGTGACGATGAAGACGAAGAAGAATATCTGTTGAAAGGTTGTAGTTAATAAGATATATTTTTTTTTCCATTATTTTGGTAGGAAGACTTAACATGGTGTGTGTTGTGTGTAGACGACAACAAAAAATCTGATTATGAAGACAAAGCTGTGATGGACGAAGATGAAGAAACGTACGACGACAATGAAGAAGAAGAGGAGATCGACGAAGAAGAGTTGATGGATGACGATTATAGTATGTTGACAGTTGAAAATATTTATTTCGTGAATTATTGACCTGGATATTCATAAATGTTTAGGTGAACGTAAGAAAAACAATAAGAATAAGAAAAACGGTTTTATTGATTTTGAATGTGAAGTGGACAGCGCCGAGGACGTTAGTGGTAAAATAGTAAACTTATATAACTATTTTAATCTTAATCGCTAAGTTTTTTCAAGTACATTTTTTATTCAGCTTAAGACGATCGTCTTGTATTAAATATTGTATACATTTTGTTTTGTTATTTTTTAAAATTTTTAAAATTATATGTTTATTTTCCATCTACTCGGTGGGGTATTAAATTATTTTAAATGACTATCGATATCCAAATAAAACGTTTAGCCGACAGCTCTGGTATTGCTAATAAAAAAACTACATTTTCTAATTCTTTTTAGATTCCTCGGAGTCCGATGTTGATGATAATGATGAAGATAAAATTGATGCTGTCAAGAAAAACCCGCTGGACAGCAGCGACAGTGATAGCAGTACCGGTATTAAAACTGGAGTGTGGAAAAGTTTAATGTCTCCCGAGTCTGCAGGACCCGTCGAAGGTGAGTTAGGACAATATTAGACAAAATATTAATTTAAAAACAACAATTTATTACTTTTATTATTTATTTATTTAGTTAATATGTTTGTAGATGGTCGTTCTTCAAAAAAGAAGCGACGAGCTGTTGTGCTGTCAGACAGTGATGACGATGAGGGTAACCTATCGGAACCTTCAAAGCTGGATGCTTTGCCAATTTTCGATACCCAAATGGCGTCCACCCAACAGTTATTCGACTTGTGTTCGGGCAAAGAGTTTTGTACACAACAGGTATGTCGTCGAACAAATAGCGTTTGGTACGACCAAGATCTGTCTACATAATATATTACATTATAGTCTCAAAATTAAATTAATTCTATAAGCTGTACCTATATACTTATGGTGTAAATCAACATTAAGTTACACGGTAAATTGATCTAACAAGTCGAGTCACTGTTTTATGTATGGACACCTATTTCATAGAATAAATTATTTGTGTATTGCGTTTCTTTGTATGTAATAAACAATAATGAATTTTCTCTTATATAATAATATGTTAGTAGGCAATTACGCTATTGACAAATTAATGTATTTTAAGATTATAACGATCGGCAAAAATTTGTATCTATTTTCATAACAAGAATGTAAATTATTTGTTTCTTAACTCAAGTAAAACAATTAATGTTTTTTTAAAAAGTTACAAAGTCTACAAACTAAATAAAAATTAAAAAACTATCAATTTAGACTAATGAGAAAACCTAATTTAAACATTAAAATAAGTAGGGATTTAAAAAAAATATATATTTTTAACAGCACATAATAAAAAAAAAACATTTTGTATTCCTCGATTTGTGTTAATTTATCATTTTCATAGATTTATTAATTTTTTTAGTGAGTTGTACTTAGTTATTATATATTACCCATGTTTTCAAAATTTTGTATCTTGTTAATGAGTAAAACTAAGTGTAAAAAAAAAAAAAACATGATACAAGTTAGGGGTGTTTTCTAATTTGTCAATGTTCTAAATTTACTCTACGTAATAGTTATAGGTCTATAAATGCATTAAATGATTTTTATTCTTTTTTTTAGACAAACTCTGATGCCGCCAGTGTGCACGGCGGTTCGTCGGACGGTTTTGTATCAGACGTGTAAGTGTATAAACTACATTGTTTTTACTTTCTTTCAAGACGTGCAATCCTGGATTGTATTCCTTTATTTAAAAGTACCTTCTCATTCACTTCAGACTGTCTCTTTTGGTGGTTTCTTTATCTTCTTCCCTCACAACTATTCCAAAATATTTACGTTGTGCTTTGCGTCTTTGTCAAAGCCTTGCGTCTCCTGACCAATTGCGGGTAACGTCTTCTGTCTCTAATATTACATATATATTGTGTTTTGTACACAGACCCGGCGAAAGCGACATAGAGGACAGCGATGCCGAAGACCAACCCAACGACGGTGGCGATAGTGTCGGTAAAGCTGGGATTGATGACGTCAACGATGGTACCGATAATGAAGAAAACGGTAATGATGATGACGGAGAGCTAGGGGACACGGAAAGCGTAGACGGGGAAAATGCAAAGATAACAGATTTCTTCGACGACGAGGCTGAATTGTCGGAAGACGAGGAGGGCGTGTGGAACGACGAAGACGATGAGGAAGATGAAGATGCAGCCAACGAGGAGGATCTCAAGATGATAGTCAACGACAATGGTGAAGTGGACGAATCGATTCGCGATTCTCTCGGCAAAATATACATGTGAGCACTTTACTAGAGCGTTAACAAAACAATGATTTTACAAATAATGATAATATAATTGTATTGTATGAATGATAGTTATTACCATAATTGTTAATATGTGTAAATATCGTGTACTGTACAGGCGACAGATGTTGGACGACGACAAGCGTCAAGTGGCCGAGCTCCAAGAAATGCTACTCGAGGACGGTGACTTGCACAGCGACATGGGTCGAAAACGAAAATTCCAGTGGGACGACGGCGGAGGTAGAACTCATTCAATACGGCTTTAACAAAAATTGTTAAGGCTTTATGATTATTCTCGTTAACAGATGAAGCAGGCGCGTATAAGAGACCGTTGTTTTCTTCTTCGGAGGGAGAAGATGATGACGACGACGACGACAACGACAATGGTGATAACGGAAAATGCAAAATCGACTCCGAAGCAGCTTGGCGAAAGGAGAGGCACGTTCGCGACTCTTATTTGGCGACCGAGGTCAGTATTGTATAAACCAATTTTTATTTAAATAAATGTTCAATAAATAATAAATGGCTAACGACCAAAAATTGATTAAGAAATTAATTTGGTTCAAATAAAACAATTTTTAAAAATAGTATTTCTTAATTAAGTTTTTATTTCAATAATGCCCCAACTAGAAATGCAAAATACTGAATAATATTTTTTTGTTTTTTTTTAGAACGACGACGAACATGATGATGATGAAGTCTGTCAGAACTTGACGGCTTTGGGCACCAAGAAAACGCACGTGGTATGCTAGTTATACATTTATACTTTATATCGACTTGTTGGTGTGTTAAAACATTGTTAACCTATACCGGCCCTAACCAGTAATGTGGTGAAGACCCTTTCTGGTTTTAACACTGGCCAGTAAAATCAGTCGTTGAGCATTAATTTGTCTTACACCTCATTTACAGATCAAGTATCAAGCCAACAAGACCGTGGTGGCCAATACCAGTGTCACTAAGGTGTTAGCGGAGGTAGCCGTTGTCGAGACTACCGTTGTTCAAAACAAAGACCCCGTCAAACCTCCAGACCAAGTGGAAGTGCCTACTGTGGAAATCTGTGTCAACAAGGTTTGTGATCAGAGCTTATAATTATGTAACGTCTTAACTGTCTAACGTTATTTATTACTAATTGCAATTTTAACTCCTATACCCTGTTGTTACCGTACCGACTGTTAATGTTGTTATTGCAACGGTGTTTTAGACTAACGGCCCTGTCGCTGCTGTCAAGGGGTCTTTCATGATGAGAAAGGGTAGCAACAGCAGGGCGGCTGCTGCGCTAATGTTGGTGGACAGCAAGAAAAAGGCTATGGGCGCCAGTAGCGGCACCAACGACGGTAATACGGTAAAACAGTTGACTACCGCCAAAGCGACGGTGACCAATCCGTTTGCGTACCTTATCGGCGGCACTTCGACTTCAACAGAAATAAAAACCACTACCATGACCACCGTATCGTCGTCGGTAAGTGTGATGGAATAATCCATTTCACAATGAAATCAAATTGCATTGTAATATTGTGGTGTCTTGATATTTTTTCAGAGCGCAAGTGCACGACCCGAAAATCTGATCAGTCGGACCCGCCCAAAGAAATCGGGCGGTCTGCTCAAGGCATTCCTACCGTTAGAATAAAGGTCACGTAATTGCTGATAGTCTTAGCGTTATCGGCTACTCAAGACTGTACACTTATATTAACTAGAATTTATTGTATATAATGTATATGTTATTGCTCGGGCATTTTTATAATATAATGTATATTTTATTTTTATATTTTACTATAACTTTACTTTTATATACAAACATATCGAGTCCACAAGTGACATTTTTTTTTTACAGAAACGTTTACTGTCATTATCTGTCTTCTTTCTCACTGTCTAACCGTTGACGGCTAGGATCGGACATTGCTTAGCCGTTATCCACTCGAGTTGAAGTGTATTAAACAAAACTTACAGAGAATTTCAATTAACATTAATGAATACGCACACCGTGTGTTTGGCATAGACTTCTGAAGTAATTCATTGATTTTTATCGAGGGGTTCAAGGTGGAGTAAATGATTTTAATACAAATTTTTAGGACTAAATCAATAACTATAATATAATATTTAAATGTAACAATAGTTTAAAACGGTACATGTTAAAAATAACTACATATTTTTTTGTATGCATAATAATGTTTATGAATTGTTTAATCATTTTATTTTGAATTTTGAATTTGTATAATAATAATAAATAACAATAGTAATATACATATTGTTTTTATAACATTACAATATTTTTTAATAAAATGCTGAATGATAATAATGATGATGATAGTAATAATAATAATGAAAAATTAACGGACCGGCAACGATAGATACAAACGACGCTTCGTAATCATATTTCACATTCTCTTTTTGCAGGACCCCGACAAATCGGGTCAACCCGCTATACCGTACAATAGCTAAGTGGTTAATTATAAAAAATTAATTAAATTAAAAAACCAACAATATAATAAACGTTATTAAATACTAATAAGGCTTGTGCGATCTAAATACTTGACCGCTATACTATATAATAATAATAAAATATTAAAAATATATATAATATTACATCTAACATAACTGTATAGTGCAAGATTTATGAATGTAAGTAACGCTAAGACAAGCTATTTGTATTATTTAAATATAATATACTAAAGCGATTGCCATACTTTTTGATTACGGATCAAATGTTGTTAGTGCGGTCGGATTAGCTATTTGATTTTATATCGTTGAAAGAACGTAAATGTTACATAATATATATATAAAAAATCAACCGTATTACAAAAAAACACCATCTATTATTGCCAATATTGTTTAAAAATGAAGTTATTAAAGAACTGATAAATAATAATAAAATGATTTTGATGATTTGTGAATGAAACGGTATGATAGAATTAAAACAGAACACTAATGTGTGTGTGTATGTGTATGTTTGCAGTTTGAGTAAATAATAATTATTTATGTAGAACGGTATAATTTGTACGTAACATCATAACAACTAGGTAATAAAATTATTTTTTAAATATGCCAGTTGAGTAAATTGAGTTAAAAAAGAAAATTGCCGTTTCAGCTATGACGACCACTAGGGGGGTTAAGGGTTAACAATAACTGTATTAACAATAATACGCAAACGAGCGTTGACCATAAAAATCACGGTACAACATTATATTATTATGTAACATAACAACAATAATTATTAATTAATTAATATCACGTTATATCAGGCTATATAAAATTGTCACTATATAATAATAATATTATACACTAAAGGCACGCTTATCAACAACAACAATAATAATAATAATAATATTAAAAACTATTATAATAATTGTAATAATAATAATAATAATAATTTTTAAAAAAATACTATAAAAACCTAACAGATAAAATACTTAATGTAATATTTTCATGCAAAATTTTTTTGTAACAAACGCGGTACCCCGTTGTTTGGCTTTCGCCCCGTTCGATCGTTAACAAACCTCTTAAAAACAAAATATCATAATAATATACCTCTATATCGTTTTGGTGTGTCCATACGTACAGATTTTGAGCTGTTTAATTATTATAAAATATATAACGTTCAGATATCACACGATAACAATACGAACAAATTAAAAATTTTCAAAAAAAACATAGATGATAAAGATCTAAAAAAATTTAAGAGACGGCAAATGGTTATTGTACTATGAATCGAGTCAAACGAAATGAAGACAAAATCATCGGGAAATTTTTAACTAATAGAAATTAAAATTACAAACACTCTACATGAACAATAAAATTTCATTAATAATAATTACATAAAAAAAATGTATAATATAAAGGCTAAGCTCGTAAAACAATACACGTTAGCTATCCCATTCGATTATCAACCGTTCATATTGCCGCTATAAGAGTTACAGCGTTTATTAATATTAAGTAACGATTACAATAATAATAATAGTATAGTAGATAAATAGATAAATAGTAAAACATTATTGCTTGGAGACTCTGAGTCGTTACTATATATTATTATTATATAATAAAGATTTGGGTAAAAATAACAACTTTTCCAACGATATTACAATAATCTATAATCATCTACACGCGTCTTCTTAACGTTTGATTATTTTGGACCATACGTAACGCAGCAGCAGCCGCCGTGGCCACGTAGGTTACGTTATTCGACAGCGTATTGTGTGTTGTGACCTACGAGGATCGGTCGGTCGGCTGCGGCGGCGGCAAAAATACAAACAAATTGTTACATAATATCGTAAAACACACACTAGCAGGCTAATAAAATTGAAATTTCAAATTGAAAAAAGAGAGAGAAAAACGTGGTTCAAGAGGGCACGAGGGGGGTGGTGGTAATTTGAACAGCACACGGTTTAGGGGAAGAAGTTTTGTTGAAAACCTATAAGTAAGAAAGATAAATACGATAAGACATCGGTCGCGACAGCCATCGATCAGGACGACTACTTGAGGAGTTCGTGGGCCCGTTGATTGGCCACGGATATTCTCGTTTCGTTGGATCCGGCCTGAAAAAACAAAATCAATTATTAAAAGAAGTCACCACCCCTAACGTTATTATCCCCAACGTCCCAGCACAACGACACTTCAACAAGGTGAACCGAGACCATGATCACACATGATTATACAATTTACTATAATTGGTTTACACTGAAATGGTATTTACCAGATTTATCGCTCGGAACAGTCGACGATAACGTACTTTATCATTGCCATAAAAAATACACTGGTAACGTTGTTTACCGAATGACAACGGATTATCCAATGATAATTAAATAAATACAACATGAAATATAAAGTGTTTATAAATATAAAATATTAGTATAATATTAATAGGTATTAATAATTAATAATAATGATAATATAATTATTATATAGGCAATATATTAGGTGTTAAGTTATTAGATTGGTTTTCTTTTCTCAATAATATTTGTCTACAAAGTCAAACACAGGTCTCATGTGACTTCTAAGAGAATAAATAAAAGCAAAATTAATCAATTTGAAAAAGAGACCTACATTTGTATCGATTCGATAGTTGTTTATAGCTTTGAAAAAATATATACATATATTAGTCGTACCTAACTACAAAAACGTTATTTCTTTTAAATGTAAGTTTCATTTTTTTTTCTCATTTCTTTCAATGTAGGATGTTAGGCATTTACACGGTTCACCTCGGTATATTATTCTTGTTACTGTACACCACACACTATCTCCACTATCTTCTAGCATACCTTCATGTTTATTCGAGACACTTGTCTGTTTTGGTTCTCCAACTCGCTGCCCATGTCCAGAGCCATGTTGCGCAGGTTTCCAATCATGGTGTTCACCTGTCCCATGTTTTCTTCCATTTCGTTTTCGCGAGCGTCGTTGGTGATCCTGGAAATATAAAGAAAACGCCATTACAAACAGCAGTCACGATAACCCTGGTCAAAACAGATAAGTTTTTAATACTTTTTGTTAAAAATCTATTTTATGAACTGTAATTGAGCCCTTATGGTCGTTTAAATATTGTGATAAATGAAATTCGCGCAGTGGAATAAATGAAGATTAAGATCATGAAAATTGGCTTCAAACTGCTATTGATCGTTTTTCTGATTGTGCATTACAAGTGTATTAACGATTAACCAACTACACAGATATTAAAAACGCCATTTGACTATATTAACTATTAAGTTTTATAAAAAAAATACAGGTAATATTTACTAACACACATTAGTTATATATTAATATTTTTTATGTTAACAGTAAATGTAACACTAAAATCAATTACTATACGGACACATTGGAAATTTTAATAAAACCATTCAGCAATTTCGGCAGGATTTTAACGAGAATAGAAAATTCAAATTTTAGATCATCTCAAACAGGTTTACTATCTCACATAAAGTACACCTTTGCCTTCTACCTGATCTCTACCCCGTACAAATATGGAAAGGACCCTCCTCTTTCCTTTCCTTTGCGTTTTAAGGGTAAGCTTTGAAGAAATTAAGTTTTGGCCAGGCGCTTTTAAACTTACTTGGCTATGTAACCGCCTTGGGCTCCCATCCCGTTGCGTTCGTCCATGACACGTTGAGGCTGGTTGTTGACCACTTTACCGTCGTCGTTGCCCCGCCACGTGCCCTCGTCCTCCTTGAACGAAGCCGACCTAAGCACACACCACACGGCGATTAACACACAAGTCACAAAGCACAAGCACAACCGGCGTCAGAAACGCCAAAGTCTACAAGTCAAAAAGTGTCGAGTTGTGGCCAATTTTAACTGTTGCAGATCACTTGAAAAATAGTATACTTTGTCGCCTCTGCCAATTACTATCAATGGCTGTTTATTATAAATATTATTGTTATTATCAACAATACTTGTTGCACGGCAGCACGCAAATGCCACAACACTTTTCCATGCCGGTCAGGTTTTTCTCGGCTTCCTTCATGTCGGCATTGATCTGGTCCATGCCCTCTTCGATCCTGTCCAGTTGTTCTGCGATCCAGAGATTAAAAAAAAAATCGATTCGTTTAAACAGGTCCAGTATAATATTTAACCGACACCTTTGTGTGTGTAAGTATAAGTGTTGTGGTGTGTGTGTGTGTTTGTAGTGTGTGTGTGTGATGGAAGTGCGCGACGCAAAAAAAAAAACAGTTATTATTTAATAATATTATATTTATCCGAAACGGCCGCCGACGGATGCTTATTGCTTGACCTTTATAAGTTGTTTTTAATAATTTTAATTTGAAAACGTTCAATCGTCTAACGGACCTAACCCGTGTTACCATGTAATATATATAATATGACCGCAAGGTTGCAAAAAAACAAATTCAAAATATATTTTGAAACGGTGTTGTGTAATTAAACTTAATATTGCTTCGAAATTATATCAGCATTGGCTAATTAAGTCATACAAACGATTTACTTAAGATGTAATGTATGTAACACCGCCTAAACAAAAAACTGCCACGTCTCGCAAATAATTGGAAATGCGATTTTAAACAATTAGACTTTACCACAATTTGTTTTAAACATTTTGCAACCCTGTATGTGCACGGCTAAAAAAATATTAAACCAGTTGGAAAGTTGAAAAAAAAAATCATTCAATACTAAAACAGTATCACCTAGTTTTTTTAGATACATAATATATAACTGCAGTGATGTGTCCAAATAGCATAGTTCATTATGGTAACAGTACGGTGCATAGGAAATAGATGATCTTAGGTCATAGAAGTTAACAGTTTACCGGAATTTAATAAGAATTTCGAGTGGGTCGTTTTAGCTTAACCAATTTCCCCAGCAGTTTAATAATATGGACTAGCTAAGCAGGAAGAAAATACATATACACTTTAGACTTCTCACATTTCCATTCCCAAACTCTACATAATTCAGCTAACTATTTATTTGTTTACACTTTGAAAATAATTTCTGGTCACCAAGCACAAATGGACCACCGCACTTGACTAGGTCAACAAGGACATTAGTTCAAGTAAAAAAAAATCCTACAACTATCACTTTTCTCAGCAGTTTATGTGTACATCCTTCTTTGTACATTACACTCCTTCCATTAGTTGCCCTTCTCCGTAGTACTGATATTCATATTTTGTTAATATTCATCTTAAATGGATTTATTTCAACGTCTCAACATATTTGATTCGCTTTCAAATTTTAACAATGTTGACAATATAAAAAAAGACTGCTATAAAAACACACCACTGCGTTTATATCATGGGCAATGTCCAGAAGATTAAAATAAAGACTTTCAACAGTAACTAAAATATCCTCTAAGCGACCTAATAGAATGGTTTTTTTTATAGTTTTTATAATAATATATTTTGTCTACCGCCGCCAGTTTGCGTTCAGATCAAATATTTTGTAAACCGTATGTTGTTTTATTTAAATAATAATATGTTGTCTGTTTGGTATGATATTATGTGAATAGCTGATAACGATAATGATATTTATATAAAAATATTTTGTTTTTAAAAAAATTGTTGGGTTTTATTTTTTTTTTTTTAGGTATTCTTCTTACCCCCTTGTTCATCCAACATCACAAGAGATTTCATTCCGACTTCGTGGCTCTACACAACAAACAAATTGATCATCGTATGAGCAAAAAAAAAAAATATTAAAAAAAATGTCCCACGCGCCAATACACGGCATAGTCTACATTGACTATATAGGTATAATATTGTGCTCACAATAAAAGAAACTAAACAATACTATTGGGGTTTCAAAAAAAAAAGAAATATTTGCATTATATATAAAAATAAATAAAATAAAAAATATATTAGCATTTACTTTAATATACTAATAAAACTGTATGCATATATAGGTTAAGGTATAACCATATAGATAAAAATATAATTTCAAGGGCTAATAATCAAGTTGTATGTATACTTCTATAAAAATATTAACATATTGGATAGGTACTATGAAAAAATAATAGTAATAGTAATAAAAATAATTAAAAAAAAAAAAGTATTCAAAACAACAACACAACGCGACATATGCACTATAACTACTATATAATATATTATATATAAAAATATGTATAAATATGTCAATGCAAAAAAATATTTATATATAAAAATATCGGATTTGACAAAATCGTTTCTCGGTGAAAATTGGCGGGTGGGAAAAGGATAAGTTTTTTTGGAAAATATACAACGGACAGACAACAATATTACTACCAATATAAATATACTATTTGATTTTGAATTTATATACTGATGATAATAACATGTAAAAAAAAAAGGGTTGAGTGATTGTGATAAACCAAGACAAAATAAATGTGGGCAAATATAATCTATGAACATATTTTGTCGTTCAAATTCAATTTAAAAAAAAATTAAACATTTCTTTATAGCTAAAAGGAACGCTCGACAGTGAAAAATCAAGTTAAAACATTTTTTTTTCTTTCACATTTGCCCCCATTTGTTCTAAAAGACAAACACACACACGCACACACGTGTCAATGCGTTGCAAGCTTCACTGGACTTTTGTAAACGCAGGCGTATCCCTCCTTATGATTGCTTGTAATGTATAAGTATAAGTTTATGTTATGGAATTCCAGATAAACAGTGTGTCCTAATAGTCTATTATATTGGACCCATCCCAAAAATACTTGACGGCTTTACCCTTTTAGTTTTTTCTAACCGAATTTTATGAATGTAGGTTCGTTTTTTTTACTGTGTTTGAAATGTTCTCATTCAGTTTTGAAATCTTTGAAAGTTTTTTTAAGGTTAAATTAACGGTTCAAATCGAATCCAAACGACACAAAAGTCTAACCGCGTGTAAACCGGTGGCACCAATTTAGAATTTTTTTTTTTGCTAATATATCCCAGTTAAACAAATTCCCAGGATTCGCCAACGATACAATCGTTTATTATAATATTATGCTAACGATTTGGAGTAATTGGCCCAATTTCATGCGAGGGGTGGCTAGATATATTCTGAACTTTGTTGTAACTACTTTAAGTTTGACCGGTTTGAATATGTCCAGCCCCACCTGAAATCGCGCCAATGCTTAGGGGTAAACCGTTGCACTATTAGGTGTAAAGTATACAGGCGGCGGCGGCAGAGGGTAATTACTAATTATATATACAAACACATTCCTACAGGTTATGTGATGGGTCTAAAAGTTAGGTACTCTAAAAGTTTACTAAAAACAATATAATCGACCAGTTTCGCCAACTATCGTTAAGCATATTCCTATAAAACTTTACTAATTGCGTATCAAAACTCACAACAAATACACTTGGCGAAACTGATAGGGCCTTATAAAAAAAATATACGTTCACAAAATAAAATAATATATAAATTATAAATAATAATTAGTCAGTCAATCAATTAAAACGCGACGCTATAGTACATGGTACCAAAAAAAACAAATCATTCTTACCGCCTTGGTGCTGCAAATTGTCTATGGTTTTTGTGCCAGCGTCTACACTCTACAAAAATATTAATAAAAAAAAAATAATAAAAAATCATAAACAAAATAAAAACTAATAAAATAAACAAATAAATAATAATCAATATAATCTTTCTAAAAATGCAAAAAAAAACAAATTAATGCAACTAAAAGAAAAAAACTAAATAGAAAATCATATTATTATTCTTATAATAGCGTTTAATATTTTTCGTAAAAAATATCGAATAAAGATTTTAACGCGTTAGTTAGGCAAATTGCAATAGAATTTCTTATTATAACTTTGATGTCCAACTTGTAAATTGAAGTGTAAATTCGGATTTTATTAAAAATTGACAAGATAGAAAGATTAACAAAAAAAATAATAATAAAAAATAAAAATAATAATATAATAGTTTTGTAAGCACTTCGAGTAAAAGCATCTAGATAATTCAAGAAAACAATGTTGGACTTGTTGAAAATTTGTTTGATAAACTTTGGATTCGTTTACAGACCTGGGAACAACCAACTTTTTAAGCTAATAATAAATTTAAAAAAATCATGCATTTTCAATTTTACCATTGTGTTTATTTCACCGTGGAAATAACACAATACCGTCAAATCTCTGCATGAACTTTTACAACCCATTTAAGTGTTTTTTTTATTGTTATATTTATGTTATAAAAACAAACTCAAATAGATTTTATTAAAATGGATAATCAATTTTCTGCGTATAAAATGATCACATGGATATCAGATTTTGGCGGGTGATTGTGGGCCAAACCCCCCTCCCTTAAAAAAGTAATTGTACGTTAGTGACCCCATCATACTTAGGAGATTTCCTATTTTAAACGAAATTAACGTCTACAAGAAGGAGGGAAAAACGATTGCAAGGTTCCTTGTGATCAAACATTTCCAATTTTTTTTTTTTTTTTTTAAGATTAATATTGTATGTTGATTAATGTTAATTGTAGTCATGATAAGCGTGTGTTAGTATATAGTAAGTAAAAATGCCGGTTAGACTTTCCGCCACCGCCCGATACAAATTGCATACAGTTAGAAAAAAAAAACCATTGTTAATAAAAAAAAAAGCATGCAAACTATTTCAATGCATTTCTGTCGTTACAATGTTACATCATATTGCAACGACCGTGCAATGCCCATTTTGCCTTGTCTAGATTTCCTTCAGATATATTTTATCATCGTTGTAGGTTTGATTAAAAACATATTGTATTATACTTATATATTCGTTTAAGTTTCATTTCACGCAGTAATTGGGTTGTGTGTTTGTGTGAGGGTGTGTGTGGAACGCTCTTGCTGGCGTTCAAAAAAAAAAAACAACAACAACAAAACAAAAAGAATCAAATTAAACCACTGCCGCCGTATCAAAGCAGTATTATTTTACGAAGCCAACACAATGACGTGAGCGAATGATAATATGTATAACATGTTCGTCTAGCCGAGAAAAAAGGGTAAGTTTTACAAAGTAATTGAATAAAAAAAAAACCCCCTTATTAACATAGAAATATATTTCCCGAGGTGTGATTTTCCGGCCGCGTTGACTTGCTTAATAATATACCGTTTAAGTCATGTCGAGCCGTGCGTCAAATTACACATAAAAATATACATTAACGCTGTGTTCCAGAGATAAAGTTAAAAAACAAAATATAGTGAAAAATAATTAAAAAATTGTTTCGAAGTGATAAAAAAATATATATTAATTAATTCGTTTTAATTAAACGAAAATTGCTACGTTTTAATTGACATATTTTTATTATGAACATAATATAATTGTTCCCTCCCCCCCCCCCCCAAGTGCTTTTAATGGAATATTATTTTGCAAAAAAACAGCCAATTGTTTTTTTTTTTTTTTTGGACGGCGACAGTGGCAAACGAGAACAACTTCATCATCAACTCACCTCCCTGGTCGTCGAGAGCGACTAACGTCCTGATTCCAGCTTCCTTGCTCTATGCGATAGTAGTAGAGTGGTGATGGTTGTGGTGGTGGTTGTGATAGTAGTGGTGGTGATGGTGGTGTGGTGTGCGTGAGACAAAAAAAAACAACAAGAGAACCAATATGAAAAACAAACGGTATCGACCAACAGTGTGTGTGTATATATATATATATACCGGCGACGGTGTCACCGATCACCGATCACCGGTCAAGTAGGTACTGCACCGACAAACAAGACTGGGCACAGACTTTACATAAATATTTCAAGACTTAAGCCTTTAAGTCACACTTTGGGTACAGGGCACACGAGGGTCCAGGGGGGGGGGCAAAATATTTTCGTTTTTCAATTTTTGGTTTCACTATAAGATTGGTGCTTAATTTTATTATGGTTTGTAACGTAAAAATGATTTATGACAATTAGTTTTTAAAGCAATCTTAAAGATGGCAGCATTAATCGATAATATGTAATTTTTAATTCACAAACGCATTAAAAAAAAAATACATAAAATTATACTAACTATTGATTTCATAGCTTTTGATTACTTGTAAAATTTAATGTTTCTAGGACCTAAAAACTAAATAACAACCAAACCGTTTTGAAATTAACTTATTTCTTTTATTACTCGAAAAAACATAACATAACTGTATTAATTATAAATATAATAATTATAATAAACAACCTTTTTCAACATTTTAACAGTCAACAAATTTTGAATATTATGTTTACTCAATACTGTATATAATATGGATAATAATATAAAATAAAAAACTTAACAAAATGTCTCTATTTAGCCTTTTATTGTCAACAAAAAAAAGGTTGCCCCCCCCTGCGGACACCCTTGTACTACTATGACTCAAAGGGTTATATTGTATAAGCGTTTAACACTAAGTATTATGTGAACAATTGAAAATGGGGTCTCCGGCCTATTAAAAATGGCAACACGGTCAATGGAGATTTCGCTGCTATTTTCCAACTGTTTTTTTTATTTACATCATAAAAAATTGTTTAAAAACAATTGTATTTGTTCATTCCCCTTCTTTCTACTACCATTGATCATTAAAATATAGAAACAGTGTTGAACGGATAAAACAATATCGCCAAGAACGAAATAGATAAAATGGTTTTTTAAAGAAAAAAAACCTAACACGGTGGAAATAGGCAAATGTGTGGCAACCGATCTTAGCATTTTAGAAACTATATTATGGAAAACACCCGACGAATGGGTTACGACTAGAATGTCTATTTTTATTAACTTTGAATTCCACAACTTTTTACCAATCCCGCAAGTATGATAGCGGCAGATACCATTTATTTATAGATTTGACTGAATCAAAAAAATGTTCCAAGAGGAATTACACAAAAATCTGAGACAGATTTTAAACGTTATTTTACTGAACAATAATAACGTATTTAGATTATGTCTCAAATAATGATCATTTATGGCGCTAAATTAATTATGCATATTATTTTTAATTGTAGAATTGTGAAATTTTGCCCTACAATGATAAATTGCCGGATAAATCAATAATATTTTTTATAACAACATTTTCATTACTGAATCACTAATGCCTTACATTTCTGGATTTGTTTTAATGATTATTTTGCTTTTATTAAAAAAGAGGTAAAATGTGGAGACGTGCCGAACCCTATTTTCAAATATTCACTCATAGTATATTATATATTCTAATGTATTGCACACTTATGTAGAGTCAATTATAAAACATAAAGAAGAACTATGACATTTAATATCAAATGTTTGTTTTAAGATAAAAGTTTAAAAATTTAACTTTATTTTATGCAATAAAAAATAGGTTTATGACTCTAAGCTAGAACACATTTAAATAAACTGTTGGAAGTAATTTGGGAAATGTTAAAAAATACATTACGACTGATTTGCCCAGACTTGTTGTACGTACAATGTTGACGAAACAGTATTGATTACGATAATATTTATCAATGAAAATTATTAATTAAATATTAACGAATCAACTTGGGTATTGATCAACAAAACATTGTATTAAATGCAATGCACATCAACACAATACCAATAATCAATATATAATATGTTTAAATCCTGCATAAGAAATAAAACCAAACGTCGATTAAATACATATTTAGATTACTGCACGACACCGGTGTGTGATCTGTAATGTTGTGTTCACTGCCTAAAATGTTAAGTCATCGAAAGAAAAACTTAACGAGCCCAAATAAAAACATCCTACGATATGTCCAATAAAACAAATGTGTTCATTGAGAAAAATAAATCTTTGGCCGTCTTAGCCAAATTGTGTATGCTTGAATGTAATCGAACGAGGTCGACAGGAAAAATATGGATTAAGCACAACTTATATTAAATAATTGAATTTTATAAATCAATATAATTGACAAAGTGTATAAATGTATATGATTAATTTATATTATAATGTATTTGTTCGATTATAGATGATAAATATATATTTAATTTGAGCTATATTATTGTTTTCAAGTGTATGACAGTGTGTGTATAGATGAAACTATCGATGGATCCGAAACCATTTATATAATAAATAATTAATTAATTAATTATAATACGGGTTGTCCCTCTTTCAAATTTTTTTTTTTGTTATTGAAAGCAAAAAAAATGCACAAGACAAACACACACATACACACATTGACATGCAGCGGCCGCACCAATAGCTTTATTTTACAAAAAAAAAAATATATATATATATATGGTACACTGAGGATATGGCGCCGAGTGTGCTGTGAAATCACGAATCCAAAACAGACAATTAGAACAAAAATATATAAAATGTATACAAATATTAATTTCCGTGCATTTATTTATAAATATATATATAAAAATTTAGTTAGTATATTATGTACAATACAACAGGAATATTGTTGCACACACCAAATGTTATTATTATGGTCGGACACCAAAACCAAGCCATACCAGTTAGACTTTTTAGTAAACGAAAAAGAACACAAATCGACGGTACTGAATTAAATTGAACAATAATAATATACAAATAATGATGTAGGAAGTACCACTGGTTGCCAAATATTGTTAAGGCCATGCTGTCTTCTGGGATACACACATAGAGGTATTATACATGAATATATATATATTTTAATTTTTACACGCATGGAATACATTTTAATAAATTGTTAGTGGACAAGAGGTTAACACACAATTATTGTTAATTATGTATTTAATATAGAATTAATAATGACATCTTACCTCTTCGCAGAGAGCCAACATACGTCTGGTACTTTCAAGTGACTACGTCGTGGTGGTTGTGTGGAAAATGAAACATGAAAACACAATATGTTAGCAACACACAATAATATACAAATCTAAAATTATATTTCAACAATTTTTATTTTTAACTGAGATTTTTTTAATTTACTCTAAGAGTTTATCGGTATTATCATTTTTAACGTCACTTTTAAAACCCTCATATCCCATCAGTTTATTTTGCTTTTCAAATAAAACCACTATTTATTGATTGTTGAATGGTATCTTAATTTGAAATAAAAATGTAAATAAAAAAACAAAATTTAATTTTTACTCGTTACTTGTTATTTTAATGTATTGCACTTTAATTGATCGATATTAGTTAGGCAAATATATTTTATCTAATAGCATTGCACATTTTATAGGCACTTAACGTTATCCAAACACAATTAATAATAAATACATTAAAATCATTTTATAAATATCTTAACAATAGTATGTGGTAGTGTCATAAAATACTTTCATGAAACTTGTATCTAATTCTCAACGCTAATTTACATTTGATTAAAAGTCGAAAAAATAAAATCATATTTTTTGGGTTTGAATGAAATTTTTTTACAAACTACAACATGAATAAAACATCTGCTGGCTTTCAAAAGGACAGGGGAAAATTACCGTTTTTAATTTATTTATTAACCTAAAAATTCAATTATAAATACGAATAATTTGAATTAGCCAATTATGATGACTTTGATTTTAGATCAATTTTAATTCGTTTTTTTTTTGGGGGTCAAAATTTCAAAAGTAGTACGCTCACTTCATCAGTCACTTCGCCGGCCTTGAGTTGCAATTCCTGGAGTTCCGTCTTGGGAACGGACGCCTTCGGTCCATCCCCGTCCGGCGACATGGCAGCGTTCGATTTGGTCGGTGCGGGCATTGCTGACGTTCAGACTCTGGACTCGGTACTGGAACAAATTTCCAAATCAGTACAACGCAATAAAATCAAACGAATCCACACAGTATATTATTATAGTTGCTGTGCTACTAATGACAATTGGTAAGCACATTAATGTAACATTATAATAACACGATTGTCCCTTACTATGTCGCAAACCGTTAACCGTGCTCGGGGACTCGGACGAGCAGCAATAAAAACGACCGGGTAGGTACAACCTAATTAGGTAGTAAAATGAAAAACAGCACAATATATTATTATTGTGTTTACACAACGCTAATTTCACTGGTAAACATTTGCTCGACCACCGTACCGTCTGCCGAGATCAACGTCACGGTTATAATAAAATAGTAAAATATACTAAATACCTACCTAGGCGTTAATCTAATATTTAATTTAATATTGTGGTTTCAGGTTTGTGAATTCTGAATTGTGGCCATCGCTATCTCCCCACTATCGAGGAAGATCCATTCATTATCGTTATCACTGATACCGTAGCGATGAGTGGTGATGCTGATAAGATACCAAACCATCATAGCCAGATCGGATTAGGTAGGTACTCACGTTACTCATTAGTCATTATACCTAAACCTACTTTACGATGATTCACTGTGCTTAAGTTGTTGTAAAGTCATAATTATAATTTAAATTAAAAAAAAAAAAAAGATAGATATTGCATAAATTATATTATAATATAATAGAAGATTATGGATACTGCATTAATGTAAACAAACGGCTAGTTCGGTCTGAAAGTGATAAAAACGTTCAAATCACTTTCAATCCTTTTGAGTACAGCTATTTTTTTGAGTACAATTATTTTTTTATAGGTATTATACTTACTAAGTTCTATGTAAAATTCTTGGCATTCAAATATCGAATACAACACCCTTCTCTATTAATAATGCGTTATCTTGTTTATTTTTTATGATAATTTATTTTCAATTAAGATGGTTAAATTTTATATTGTTCGTGTACCTATTCATAAAATAACACACAAAACAATAATTATAACGGTATGTTAAGTCTTCAGCTCAAAACAAACTACTTTTAAAATATGAAAATAAATAAAACCCGCATCCAAACCTTGTTTGGAGGAAAAACTTCATGTTTTCGATATTTGATTGGTATCTTATAACTGTATAGAACTTAACATCTACCAACAAAATTGTTAAGAATACTTTTGTAATGTATTTTAATTTCTATGTAAATATGTTTTTCAGCTATACATTGCTTACACATTCATAAACTTTGGAATAATTTTTTAACTTTTTCAAAAATTCCAAGGAAAATATGTAGGTATTTTATATTTTATACCTAATTTTGAATAAAAATAAGTACTGGTCAAATCTTGAATTTGTCTTAATAAAATGTAAATGAATATAAAGTGTTTTGGTTTTTTTTGTAAAGTATTTAACAAAATTTGTATTTGAAATAATATGGTGAATACACCATACAAAGGCATTTAAAAAAAAAAGTATTCCATATCAAATATTTAAATACTTCATTCTACCTATATAGGAACTCAAATCAAACTTTTTTAATGTACTCCAAATATTTACATAAATACTTTAGCACTTGTCATACAAATGCAGTTACTTGTAATCACAAAAACATAGTTAATGTTTGGTTCAGACAACCACTATCAAACTTCTGTGGTAAATAGTCAAAGCACGTCTAGCCTATGGCTTTTGGGATATCTGTCATTGAGTTTTGTAACGAAAATTACAACAGGAAAGTGGAAACAAATGTCTATAAGACAATTTGAACATAGGTCGTATATTATTAGTGCTGTATTTACCGTTCAGGTAGACAGGTGTTTGTTCCTAAAAACTTCAAACGCCGACTGTTGGCTGTTGAAATTAGCGAATCGAATTGTTTACAACTAATAACTAATCATTATTTACACAAATAGTTTTCCAAGGATGACGACAATCATCTCATTCCACTTATTTTTTCCTATATAATTACACTGTAATTATTGGCTAGATCGAATAAGATGGATGTTGCAAAGATTAATAAGGACAACGCGAATCGAATAAAAATGAATATTTATAAGCACCGCGACTTTAAACAAAAATAGACTTGTTTTTTTTTTTAATTTACATAATATTATGACTATTGATTACAACATAACTGTTGCCTATTTATACGAATGGTACTCGGGCAGAAGCATTAACGACTGTAAAATATTTTCAAGGTGGCTACAAAACCGGATTTTTGGAAACAACAAATTTCAGCGATTTACAATATTGATCGGCATCTCAAAAATGATGACCTTGTTGTAAGCTTATTGTAGTTCTGCCCGGAGCAAGCCTATGTAAACAAAAACTACATGTTAATTTATTATAATAACACATTTTCAGAGAAAAAAAAACTAGTAAATAACCCGTAATTTTTTTGTAAACATAAAGGATGTGTTCCAAAAAAAACATTTGTTTTTAAAAAAGAGTCCATTTCTTAAACGCATTTTACTTAGTTTCAACTTTAATAGGCCAATCCCTCAACAAACTTGTTAAGTATTTCACTACATATTGGAGGTGACATTTGTTTTTGAAGGAAAAATTTTAATTTTCCAATTAAACTGTTTTGATTGTTAAAACAAATACCTACTACTTAAAAAATTTGAGATTACAAAGTTGAATATAGTTGTAATTTATAAAATATTGTTTGAAAAAAATGACAATTTTAGGGATTGAGTTTTTCATTTACATTTGTACACAGCACTATAAACGCATTTTTTACGCTTTCCAGCGATTAAAATATGGACTATTTTTATTTACTACAAGTATTTGTATAAAAAAAAATCAATCTATGTTTAACGACCCAGTTTTGACCAAAAATGTACTTGTAACATTTTAAAATAAGCCATTTAAATCTCTCCCCAAATCTCCAGCTTACATTAATTTCCATTGGTCATCCCACACGACATATATCTTTATGACTTTATTTATAAAATCCATCCACTTCATCTTTGGTCTACCTCTATAATCTATATCATAAATCCATCCAATCTCTCTAGCTTATTTTACCAGTTTTGTTAAATTTATAGACATTTAAATAAATTAAATTTAAATTTATATAAATATTTAATTATTTATATCGGGTGATTTAATCTTGTCAATCAACCAAATTACCAAAGTTAGTACCTTTATATATAGATACCCGGTTATCTTATAACAATATTATGATAATCGACGACAACCGCCAGTGAACCTACAACAGTAATTTCCCATGGTAATTAAACCTCGTTAATTACACTTCATATAACGATGGAATTCATAAACCCAATTAAGTTAATCAATCATTCGGTTAGGTACCGCAAGTTGTCCCTTAAACCTGTGTTGTTTTCTCATCAACAAAAACGGCAACCGGCTACTAATTAATGAAAAAATTAATTATCAAATGTTTTGACTCGAAAAGTATAATAATTTTAAATTACAAGCGTTATGTAAAATACGGATAATCTTATGAAACGGATATCTTATGATAATCTTATAACATGAATATGTTATGATTATCCTGGTCGATAATAAAATACATACCAATACCGAATACGTACCTATATTAGTTGGCCTCAACCAAGCTAAAATTCTATGTTAATTATTATTCTGAAGTATTATAATTAACGGGTAAATCGAAACTGCATACTATAATAATAATAATAATATAGCCTGTGGGATAATTATTAATTACTTATTAGGTATATATTAACATTTATGTACACTAGCAAGTATTTCTGCAGGCTATATATTATTATAACAGGAATGCGCGTATATGTTAATATAAAATAGTCATGTTAAAAAACAACACATATTTGGTGTGCGTACCCCCACGCGCATTTTATCTTCTTCCCACATGAATTTATAATATACAGTGGAGGTGGAAGTGTTGCACGCTGTTTAGAAAATTTCCTCGAGGAAATGAGTATCCGCAGATAGTACATAATAATTTCCATTGCAAAAATATAAAAATTGGTCTTTGGGTTCGATAAATTCATTTTCAAAACAAACATTTTGAATCCTACCTACCGGTAGCTGTATAAAAAGAGATTAAGGGGTGTTGGGACACAGCATAGAAATGTTTGCCTCTTCAGCAGTGGGGCAAATAAAGAGGAGGCCTATAGGGTCTTCGAATCTTCTTAATGTGTTCAGGCCATCCCCCAGGAAATTATGAGAGAAGACTCGACGCCCCTCTTGTGATCTTCTGTTATTTGTCCCACTGTGGGCATTTAAAATGGAAATATTATTATCAATTAATTATAGTGTTAGGTACATGAACTTTCCATAAATGAACTGTCCATTCTTGCGGTCTAAATTCTAGAGGCCACAATGATAATGTAGAATCCTTTGAATTTAAAGTACCTAATATTGGTATACTAATATTCGCGGCTTTAGATTTTCAACGCTGTTTTAGCGATTTGCTTTAATTTAGGTCGTTAGGCAATAAAAATAACACATATGTATAGTTGCTGGTGACAACACCACCAGCTGTTGCTTGCACGCGCTAGTTAGTTATATTTTTTTTTTTGCAATTGTTTTTTGTGTTTGTTTAAACAGCAAGCCGTTTGCGGTAACCTATTAAACTAGAATCGTACCGTTTGTCGATAGATGAATGATGGTACCTAAAGGTAAACACATATAATGTTGGGAATTGAATACATGCGTATAACCATTGTGTGTATATATTGTATATAAAATACTCAATGGTATAATATTAATAATTGGTCTGCTGTTGTTAAAGATTTATTAGTAGAGAATTATATTATTATTAAAAAAAAATTGTATAACAGCTGTATCGAGCGACCGATTATTAACTGTACGTCACTTTTACCACATAATTATGTTTTCAATTTTTTATATTCTTTTTTGTATTTCTGTCAATTTTTTTAAAATTTAAATGACAGCATTCTAGTATAATATAATTAAAATTCACAACAATAATCTACTAAATAAACAGACAAACCTTGAAATATATGTAGGTACTATACATAGCCATTAAATATTATTATAAAAGTCGTTATGTTAGTTTCAAAAGTGGATCCAAGTTTAAAAAAAAAAAAAGATGAAACTTTGAACATAGAATAAAAAAGCTACACAAAAGTTGTGCAATAATCGTATTATTTTTTTAAAGAAAACGAATTTTGTACTCGTCTAAGAAGTTTTTATTAAATTTGTATTATCATAATAACCTTTGGGAATAGTATATATCTTATAGGTTAAAATATGCAAACCCATACATTGTACCTACATCAGTTCTGTCGAATACTATCTAAAACAGATGTACAATGTATATAATATTGTAAATACATTATTCAGTATGCCTTAAAAAGCTTATCTCATCCCAGCAAGTAGAAATTTAAAGTTTAATTTAACATAGTTCTGCCATGTTTTTGGTTGAAAACGAATCTGAAGGAGAAAAAAATAAAATAACATAATTGAGACTTAAAAAATAATACTTTACCTAAAATTCTTATGGTCACATAATTTTTATATCACACTGTATACAAATAATAACAACATTTGTTTTTAATTATATGTATATATTTAAATTACACCGGCTATTTTCTATGCCGAGCGGTGGCAATTAAAATCCGACCAATTATATTTAAGAAACTTAATGAGAGTCATAACGAATATCAGACTATCAGAAGTATAATAATATAAGTATATATGCTAATTAATTACTTATCAATTTTAAATTATGTTTGTTATTCTAATTTTGACTGAGTATAACATATTATATTATTCTATCATCGTTAGGCTTCTGTATACAGACAGCGTTTATCGACAGCGATATAGATTTATGTAGAAATCAAAAAATTAAAGCTGGTGTTCTAAACAAATGGATAGAAAACAGTTTTTATACTATATTACTTACTAAAGCACATAATATAGGTTATTCGGTGTTTAGAAACTCAACTTGTTTAAAAAATAAATACTCATTATATTAAATGGATTATTAAAAAATGAAGTCAATGTGCCACTGTACGAACAGCATCTGATACTTATGTAATTTTATATAGATATAACTTTAAAGGACTGCGTGAACGTGAAAGCTTGTTGTGTTGGTATATTATTATAAAAATGAAATTCGGAACAATTGCAAACTACAGTCTACATGTTCTAAAAAAAAATGTCATTCTCTTTTTAATTTTGGAAATTAGACGACCTATTTCTCTTCTTTTTTTCCTCTAAGACTCCCACCTGAATTTACTAAGGTAAATGAATAATAATGGAACACATAGACAATTCTATGTAAAATCAACACAATAACTTTCATTTACACTTCTAATTAGTCTAAAACTTAGGATATTCATTATAAACACTCAAAAACTCAAAATATTTACAAATTGAGCAAATAATAACTATTTGTTTACTGAGTGCGCAAAATGTAGTACTTGCAATAACGAACTACGGTAAAACCAGCTTTACATTTTCAGTTCTAATTTTGGAACACTTTATTATTTAAATATGTAGGTACCTAATAATAATAATAGGTTATAGATATAACAGTTAATTTGATAATTGTTTTGTTTTAATCTATAATACTATCTTCGCATTTTCAACTATAACTTTGGAACGGTTTGATATCATTTTTTTTTTTTTACTCAAATGTAATAAATTGTGAAAATATTTATTTAATCGTTCTTTTTGTTTTATATCAAATTAAAAATAATGTCTTAAGGTTTATATTATATAAAGCTTGAAATAAAATAAGGTTTATATATAAGACTAAAAGTTGCCGGGAAAGACCGTATAAAGATGGTTTAAAGAATGGTCTGGATTCATGAAGATGGTCTTTATAAGACCGTAAAGCTGGTTTATAAGGTTTATGTATAAGACATAAAATAAAATGGCCTAGAGATTTATTGCAATCATTTAAATAAAACTGCCTGCCATAAACGGCATTTTCTTTGTCATTTTGTTACTCGCCTACTGCCATCGCACTTGCTTAATAATAATATAATAATAATAAAAAAGGTTTATATTTTAAAACAAACGTTTCAGAGATAGAAATTAAAATATATATTAAAAAAATGAAAGTTTTTAAAATAGTTAATCATTGCAAGACCTATTGAAATGAGTATAATACACAAACCAGTGCACTTAAAAGTTAAAAAGCATACAATTTGTGTGATTTTATTAGTGTTTGTAGTATGAACATCCGGAGTTTTAGAAAGACACATAAGTATATAAGTGTATGTATAGGTAAGTGGAAATTGTTGTTGTATCAATTTCACACAGAATGACCAATACAATATTATTAATGCAGAATAGATAATTAACACATGAACTAATAAATAGATTGACATTTTTTTCCCCCTTGTGAGTTGTGCTTACTCCAGACTAACTCTTTAAAATAAATAAATATATATATATATATATAGTAGGTATTGTATGATACAATTATTATTGCAAAACATTGTGCATGTTCGTGTTCAGTGTCTACTGACAGTTTTACGTCATACCTTTTTTTTTTTTATACTTAGGGGTTATGTGCGTGTTAACAACATCATAACACACGAGGACATAGGCCGTTAGTGGATGGCGTGACAAAATCGCATGATGATCCTGGTGTAAGTATTCCGGCAAAGGTTTAAACCCACAGGAACAGGACAAAGGCATCGACGGTCGCATATTGTTTTACACAATACAATTCGTGACCATTCGATTAAACGATGCCAACAATTGGCAACGTGTTCTTAAAGTTTTAGAGAACAAAGTAAAACTTGAGATATATATTCCTAGCCGTCCCAACAGCGTAGGTCTCGGATGATGCAGCTTCACCGCCCAACGTTGTAGCCAAGAATATTTAAATTAAAAAACTAAAAACTGGTCATTGAACAATCAGAAATTTTCAGAATTAAAAAGGGGATAGGGTCAGAGTTGTAGCAAGGGGTGGGAAAGCATTGGTCTGAGCTCGACTCTAACATCCAAAAAAGACGTGAAATTACAGAACTTAAAATGTTAAAAAGAAAAGAAAAAAAAGAGGGGTTAACCGAAAATATAATAGTGAAACGGATAAGACCTTTAAAACAAATTAGTGTAGAAGAATTTATGGGTCGACCGGAAAACAAATGGGGGGGGGGGAAGCTTTCAACAAAGACACAGAAGCAAAGTGAAGAAGATAATGAAAAAGGTTGGTTGAATATTGTCAGTAGATAGAGAAAGGATTTGGCTAGCCTGTCCTATTTGTAAGGGAAGAAGTGGAGAAGACATACGAATGACAAGTAGTTTTCATTTTTCGCTGTTCTGCTGTGTATTAATATCGACAAATAATTGCCCTATCCAACACTGATTGGCCAAGGATGAGGAGGCGTCTATCTGCCATACTCCTTCCCCTCGTGTGTGTACCCCCCTCCCTTCCCCCGGTACATTAAATATATTTTCGAACAAAGCTCGATTATCGTAGAGACTTTGAACCAATAAGGTTTTCCGGCAATCATGTCGGTTTCCTCGAGCGATTCGACACAACGACTTAAGTACACCACTTAAGTACGCCACTTAAAACTCTGGCTGGCTATCTTTAATACGGTCGATTAACCGGCGGAGCGGGTTTAAACGCAGACGGGACAACGGCAATAGCGTTAAGGCGGACCACGCACAAAGGGGTGTCGATTAAGGCAGACAAAGGCGGACGATTTCAAATGAATTATGCATTTATATACGAATTGAGATCAACGGAGGGAGGGTAGGGGATGATTATTTTATATAGGGGTAGGAGTACTGCAAATGTAAACGGTCGCGAGGGAGAGGAGGCGGCCCCAATCGATTGTGTCGTCTAAAGCGATATCCATATTACACGGCGACGACGACGACCTTGACCCGGTTTGCCAGGCGTGGGCGGGCTAGGGGAAGACACTTACCCGTTCGACATTGCCCGTTGTATAAATATTTGCTCGCATATATTATTACTATTATTTTTTATAATCCTCAGTGTCGACCCAAACAAATCCCCGGCTCGGTCGTCGCTTCCTTCCCGTAGTTCGCTATCTACTGTTTGTTCTCGCCTTCTTCTTCCTGCTATAAACACACGGTTATCGTACCCACGTAGGTATCCGAGCATCGTTCTACAGGGTGTGTATACCTACCAATTTATCACGAGAGCCATTCGGATTTGACGTAGGTTTACCAAGTGGTAAGACTCCTCTAATCGTGGATTATTATCAATCGACGACGGACTAAGCTTTCAGAGTTTAAAAAAAAAACCAAACGGTTTTTACAGACGACACTCCACAGTAGTGAAATAATATTATATTACAAGACCACGAATATAAGAAAATTTTGGTTTTATTAAGAAAAACATGAGTCAAAATAATTTTCAAAAAACCAGCCGCTTACCTTATTTTTTGTGGTTTTTTTTTTGGTTGTGATAACTGCGATTTGCTTACGGCGAACGCTCGATCCCAAGTGGCACAAGCTCAAGTCCTGCGACGATGGCGTTCGCGTTAATAATGTATATTAATTATTTTATATAATATTGTACAAAACTTATACTTGGATATTTTGCCTACACGGTTGGGTGGTGTTCCGTATTTTAATTGTTAACGTTGTTTCTTGGGTATTATTCAATTGAAACGACAATACGACAATTATTATTATTTTATGTTGTCCGTCGAGAGCCGCCCAGACGCCGAGCCGCTCGTTGGTCGTTCACTGACTAGTGCTGCTGAGCCGTCAGCCGCCGCCGCCGCCACCGCCAAGCGGCCAAGATGAACGACCAAGCGGGACGCCGGGCGCTTGCGCCAGCGCGACCAACATCAATATTATTAGCGTAGGATCGTGCGCCGCCGCGTACAACCGGGCGGCGGCGGCGGCGTCCGTTTTCAATAAGCCGAAAGTTACTGCCACCGTGTGTGTAGTTGGAACACAGAATAACCAGAAGGGAAACCTAGACCGGGACTGATAAGCGTCCGACATTTTGTTTTTGCCGAATACGTTACGTACAATAATAATTACACTATCATGCTTTTTCCCGGAATTAAAATAATTTATAATCCATCTTTATACTATTATTTGTTATATTATAGTCTGGCGCACAGCCGCAAAAACAATACGGCAGTCGACCTTTTTCGGCGGCTCGTCTGAACGCCGGTGATTTTTTTCTTAAGTTTCCCTTCTGTGTTATCAAGACGGCCCGTGGAGGTAAACACAAACGTTTGCGATACGACCGCGTTATCACGGTGAACGCCAAACGGTTAACGGTGAGATTGTCAGATAGCGATTGTTGAAAAAAAAAAATATATATATGTACTACGTTTCATTGTCCGTTTGTCCGTCCGACGTTGTTTTTTTAAATTACTTGAGTTTTTTTCAATTTAAATTTTTCATTTGTACCGAATTAACAATAATTACTCGACTATTTATATATTTTCATTTTATCCAAATGCGTTCGAGATTAACCTGCGTTTCCAAACGATATTGATCGCGTTTAATTTGTATAATATTTTCATTTCATTCGTTTTACAATAGTTAGCACTATAATATATTCATAATCGACAACGACAATGGACTCCCCCGAGCGTCCTTTGTCGCCAAAAACCGACACTGACGATAACGTATCGCCGCCAAGCAACGCCGTGGCCAGTTTGGTCGCCGGTAAGTCGTACATACATTACAGCCTACGCACTTAGTGCCTGCCATCAAGTAACACTTGACAATGTTGATTTATTCCTGTATCGGTCGCCATTGTAATGTAAACGACACTAGCACAATTGGTTGACGAATGATTCATTGTTAGTACATGAAATAATAATACACAAATATTAATTACAATACCTAAAAAAATTACTAACTATAGCCAAGAGTATTATTTTGAATAACGAAAGGCAAAAACACAACACAACATTAAACATTTTTAGAGCACAAACCTAGTGTGTGTGTCATTCTAAAAGACATGATGGTAAAATAAAGAACGAGTCAATTTATAATTCAGTCTGTTTAGTGAAAAGGTGTTAAACTAATTTGTTTTAGGAAGTGACTTCCTTACAAACATATAACTTAAAATTATTCTAAATCTTAAATTTTGTTTACTTTTAAAAACATGTCTTACAAAAATATACATTCTGAGTTATCATTTTATTGGCAGTTTCGTATTAAACAATCTTATTTAATTGTTTTTACAATATTACAAGTAATTTTCTTAGAAAACAGCATTTTAACTAACTTTATTTTTTAACGTTTGAGTATTTTCATTTGAGTTTTTAATTAATTATTCAGTATGAACTACGGTAGAATCTTACTTAAATATATGTTTATTATTATTATAACTGTTAATGCAGTTTTAAGTTTGGTTGTAGATATTATTGGCATACACATAACACATTTATTACAATAGCATTGGTTTTAGGAATTAAATTAATAGTAGAATTATTATTAAGTTTAGTTTATTCGCAATACCATTAATCATTTTATTTTTCTTAAGCTTATTTATTATTCTTCAAGATTGCAATTGAATTTATAATATTACTTATCAGTACATTTTTTTAAGTTTAAACTTTGATTTTGAAATAGAATATAATTAATTACAGATTCGCTTAGAGTTAATTGGTTGATCGTTATCTGTCTAATAAGTTTTAATAAGTTTAGTATAATATAGTTTAAATATTTCAAGTTTGTTTTATTTTAATATACAGGGAAAAAACTATGTATTGAAATGTTTACCTAATAATTTAAAAAATAACAGAATTCTTATTTTCTTACCTGATATTACTTGACTTATTACTTTATTGAAACTTATTTTATACAATTATTATTCTTGGTTCAATTCTTTAATCAACGTTTTCAGGGACTTCGGATAGTCCTAGGACGCCAAATAGAGTTGCACTGAATAACTTGGACGATAGTTACGCTGACGAACAAGAAAGTCCACAATATAGACACCTAATACCCATTGGCAACCGCCGTATTCTAGATGACTTAGACTGGGAACGAATCGGATGGAACGATGGCTGTGGGCCAACCGATTACGACTACGACTGTATGTATCAACCGTTTTATTTGGGTTTTTTTTTTCTGTCATACCTAACAGATTTTGATGTCGTAAACTAGTAAATTAACACAACACGTTTATATCATTTATTTTAATTTGTGTTTGTGTTTTAGGCGGGAGTACCGAGAGACGTAAAAAAGCATTGATGCGGTGGGCATCTAATAGTATGAATAATTTATCTCCCCGACGCAAATATGTTGCAAGCTCTCCAGCCAACAATAAAAAACAACAAATTGAACTAAACGATTACATGACTTTCATGTTGAGCTGCTTAAGTAAGTAAAATTTGTCTCTGTATTAATTAATATTTTTAACTAAATAGTTTAACTTAAAGTGTATACACCAAACTAACAGTTTCATAGACAATAATTCATTGTAATTCTCAATTGCAGTGAAAAAAAAGAAACTGTCCAGGAAGTTATTGGATGACAGCGCTAATTCGTCGGAAAATATCGAAGCAAACACAGCGAGCACATTGGTCGAATCTGGCGGTTCCATGCTGGACGATTCAGCAGACGACGAGTTGATGTTTTTGTGTAGTCAGGCTGTCGAAAACATGGCCGAACAAACATACAACACCGTAAACAGGCCTTTGAACAGTAAAACCGTAGACGTTATTTGTGCCGACAAACACGCCATCTCAATACAATTGAACAACAACAATACGTTGTCGAGTAACAATTGTGGTGTCGGTAAAAATAGCAATCAGCCGTTACAGCAGATCCAAACAAACGGGATAAGCCCCTCGGGTCACGTGGTCAAAAAGTTCAAACAAATGAACAACAACAATTATGTTAATGACGCAGTAGTTAGCTCTAGTTTGCCGTTATCGAAGCAGCAAAAGAACAACACTACTATTAAGTCTAGCACAAGTAAGTGTTCGATTACTTAAATGAAATCGCTCAATTTCGTGAATGTTTATTCGATCCAAATTTCTTTTTCGTCATAACTAGTTGACATTTTTGTACCTCTTTTCGTATAGATTTATTGGAAGAAGAGGACGACGACACGTTCTTCATTTCGATCGATTTGGCGGCAATTGAAAAACAAGAGGTGTCATCCAATTTGACTAAATCCAGTTATGATATTGCCGCTAACAACAACAGTAAAGCAAAACCTACTTCAGCCGTCCACCAAAATGTTTCTCCTGTAAATCGACCTTCAAATAATATGTTTGCCACACAAAAAGAGAATAACAACAACTCTGTGTTATCAAAACAGAAAAACAATAGAAGTAATACATAATTTTAATTCTGTGCTATGTTCTCACAACTAACTTCCCTTGTAATCAAACACAAATTCTAAGACCATCCTATCTCGTTAATATAAAAAAAAAAATCCATAGTCTTGGTGTGACGCTTAAGAATAATTTTTGGGAGAATATTCTATGATTACGAGCATTTTAATTTTATTATTAAGTATTTTTGCATATTTTCATATAAAAATGTAATATAAATAAAAACAAAGTACCTATATAAAAATGTAATATAAATAAAAACAAAGTACCTATATAAAAATGTTAAAGCACATTATGTGTTTACAACTGCTTATAATTTATGAAATAATTTGATGACAAATAAATAAATACGTTTATTATTTTTTTTAATAAAATACTTTTAACTGTTAACTGAAAGCAATAAACTTTTTAAAAATAATTATATTTTAACAAATTTTATTATATAACGTTCTCAGTTTGACATTATTTCTTAGTCCTTACTTAATATAACTTATTAACTTACTAAAAACATTACATACCCATTGTTCATAACATCGATGACCATTATCTTTGCACTGCACAAATTAAAATTCACACAAATAGATCATAAACTTACTTGGCAAGTTCTTTCAAATATGATGTGATGCTCAGTGCAGGGTTAAATGTTAAACTGATTTAATTTTAACTACAGAATATTATTTTACAGAAGTTAGTGTAGTATAGTAGTTAAGTGCTATAGCCTATATATCTTAGTTTTTCCATATTTAACTTATTTTATTTGCAGTGTCTAATTCCGGGTCTCACAGCCTGTGGCGAAGGTCATCGTCGTCGTCATCGATCTGTGTTCAGCCTTCCGTAAACTCAAACGCAGTCCAACAAGAGTTAACACGCTCATTTGCTTCTCAAAGGTATACACACCGTTGTTTAATGTACACAATATCCTTATAGTATAATTATTTATAATTTATATGTGTGTCATCTCATAGAGATGGCCAAAATAGGTACTTGAATGTATTTAAAGTAGGAAATAAGAAAATATACCTCTATTGACTATATGTTTACTAGAGTTAGCCATTAAGAGGACTTTATACACCTAAGTTAAGTCTAGGGTAAAGACTTGATGGCTTAAAGATACTAACGTCTTCGATATGTTGTCGAAGATCTATTTAGTATTTTTGTAAATCTTTTTTTGGCCGGAGATTAATAAATCTTTGGAAAATATTTACAAAATGCCACAGAAGTATTATAAAATATGTTTTAAATATTTAATATCTTGCTAAAATATAATTTTATATATCTAAATGACAACATCAAATAGCCAAGACATTAGCTAAAAAATTTGACTCAAACTTGTTGAAATTTAAATGTGTTTTTAAATATTATTACTCGGTGCTTAGATAAAAGTGCTTTCTTAATAATTGCCAGGTTTGGACAACTTAAAAAATTGTTTTTTTTTTCTCGACAGTAATACCGTAACCAACAAACCGAATCAAGTTTGCACAGCAGCGGAAATACAAGAGAAACAAGAACGGGCGCGTCGAAAGTTACTCTTGAAATTCAAAGAGAGAAACAAGAGTATGACGAAAACCGCCTTCTGAGTCCGAGTGTTTTCGTATCGTAGTAACGTGCCAGCGTACTTTGTGAATATGTGTCGTGGCCCCGTATCTTATCTGTAATGTTTTTTATACGATTTAAAATTTATTCTCCATTCAAGTATTTTCATTTTTTATTTCAATTTTATTCAGTAAACACGTCACATTAACGCATTGCGATGTGTATATGTGTTACGTGTATTTGTGTTTAAAATATTTGAATTTACGTGTTTTTTATTTATATTATACGCATAAATATTGTTAAGTATAATTATAATATATTAGAAAATAGATAACCAATGATAAATAATCAAATTTAATGTAAGTATTTTTTTTTATTTAATCGACTCAATGTAAATGTCCCCATTTGCTATTGTTTGTAACGTCTTTGTCTAAAAAGTACCCAATCGACCATGTTGTACAACTCCGTTACTTGCTTTTTCGATCGAAACTCGGACCTACTCTTTTTGTTGGTACCCAATTTATAATGTATCCCGTTTTATAGTTGTAGTGTATTAGTATAGTTTGTTGAATGTATTATGTGTAAATACCTACATTCTCCCTTTATTATTAATATTTTTTCTATCTGATTTTGACCAACTAGCTAGGGAGATTGTAGGTGGTTTTTTTTTTTGGTCTCGTTAAGTAAATGTAATAATTGAATAATTTTTTATGTAGAATTGTTTCCAATGTTTTGTCATAATAAACGACACGTGACTCACCGAAGGAATTTTGCCGATTCGGTCTGATAATCATACGGAAATTAATATATTACCGATTCAGAGTGTATAATGATTCTTCGTTTTATCAAATTAATTATACTAATTATTATTTAAATTAAATTCTATTAAGCTTGTGTATATTTAAAAAAATAATAATATTTTTTTAACATACTATATTGTGAACATTTATTGCGGAAAATAATATTATCTTAAGAATGATTATTTTTGTTTAAAAAAAACTACTGTAACAATTCACTTTGCGTCATGTGTTGAAAACTATTTAATGAAATATAAATTATTGAAACAATATATAAAAGACAATTGTTTTTATTTTTAGCGAACGATTTGCGAAGTAAATGTTTAAAAACTAAACAATTTTAATGACAAGTAAACATGACAATTTAAGACGAGTAATAAATAATAAAACAAAAATCATGAATAAACCGACTAGTTGTGTGTCTTGGTTGTATTGGCCCTTAAACGATATTTAACTATTTATCTAGACAACAATAGAACCTAACCAAACGTCACATTTAATAACACTTAAAACTATAATAATATTATCAAATATGTGGACTTTTTGGTTTATTATATAACGAACATTTAATTTTTTCGAAGGTCTAAATATAATCTTATACTGATCTGGTAATATTGACAAATACTGAATCGATTATCATAACATTATTTAAAAGCGGTTTATTGTTATTTAAAAAAAAAAAACTAACAAAAGGGTTTATTCAGTTTTTTGCTTTATCATTTTTTGGTTTTGTGTTTTATTCTACTTATAATAATACAATTTATATCATAACAAACAACGGACGGTCGTACAACTATTTTTTCAAAATTTTACGCGTCTTCATGACCGACCAGTAATGTCTGTGCAAGTACCAGGCGACCAAATTGAGCACTCCCAAAATCGAAAACGCCTACGGAACAAAACAGAAATAATATTGTGATAGAAAATTATTGTCGTTCAACCCGAAAATAATACAATATACACTCACTTTCATCGCAAACAGTTTCCTGGTATCGTGTTCGGGTTCGGCGCACCATTTCAAGAACGTCACGACATCCTTAGCACATTGACTTTGAGTGGCCGGGGTTCCGTCACTGTACTCGATAATCTAAAAATGGCAAAACAATACTTGATGATAGTGATGATCGAATGACGTGATCGTATCAACCGCCCAAACGGAAAAAGTCAAATACTTTATATTGCAACGTTCAATTACCTCGTCGTACAAAGCTTGTGCCATTCCGATCGCTCCTCCCGGGAAGTACGGGTTGTAATGTTGACCCTCTTGAACTTGAACTCCTGCGGGCGGATCCATGTATCCGGTCAACAAAGCAAATATATAGTTCTGAAAACGAAAATTGGTGTAAAAAAATACAAAATGTTACAAACTCTACAGTTGTTTAAATAAGATCGTAATTAGCTTTTTTGGAATGTACCCAAATCACACCGGCCGACGATACATCATCGAGACGTACTCAATTAATCATTACTAGATCTCATACCTACTTACTTCTCCATCTATTCTAGCCTGAGTAATGTAAGTTAAGTCCGGCGGATAAGCACCATTGTTGGCGTACCGAGCTGCTTCTTCGTTGGGATACGGTTTCGGTAACAAGTCCGACAATTTTCCGGGTCTTTTGTACATGGCTCCCGTCTCGTCGGGACCGTCTTCGATCTGAAATTGCCAATTTTAAATTATTAATTCAATGTGAACACATACATTTCGTTTAATAATAACGCGTTACCAATTGTTCAGCGGCTTCAGCTTTTGCTTCGGCTTCGGTCAAACAAACATCGACCAATTCGCGGTAGGCCAAGTATTCGACGCTGTGACAAGCCGCACAAACATTCTTATAGACCTCCCAACCGCGACGAATGCTACAAACAAAATTTCAAAATCATGCAATAATCACAACAGAAAATACAGTGATATTAAAATATTAAACATATTTTATTAATACCTAGCATGGTCCAGCGTGCTAAACCATCCATTATGATTCCATGGTTGTTGAGGTGCATGCGCGGCGTCGTGGTCAGCGTGTATTGATTGTTCTAAGGCGTAAATTAAGGAACTTCCACCACCGGCCAAAACACCAAGACTAGTGAACTGTTTACAAAAAAAAAAATATAAATACATATATGGTATTTCTACCGATAAGTTAACATTTTCATAAAAAAACAAAATTAAAAATAAATAAATCATAAGAAATGAACTTGAGATAATTTATCAGCACAATAAATCAGATGTCAATTAGTGATTAATGGAAGTTCTCGTCACATTGCCTTAATAATTATGTACATATAGTTAAAGAATATTAAAACTAAAGGCTAACCGCTATTTAAACGTTGTACCAAACTGGTGAGAACAGCTACAACAGAATTATGCTATAATGTGAATACAATTATTTTTTGCATCGCTTAAACATATTATACACTTTTGCAACCTTACCTAACAATACATTTTAAAATCATTTCAAAAGCAAAGTCGCATGATAAAATTAAAAATACAGTTTTGGAATTCAAGCATTAAGTACAAAAAAGTTTTGCGCAAACCTTGTTATAAAATTTTAATTTTTGGCTGAGATCTCAATTTTTTAAATTTTTGTTTGTTTGAAAAAGTCGTAATTTTACTTTTTTTTTATTCTGTTATACATTTTTCGGCCATTTATCACAGTGTTGCTAACTTAATGTCAAGACAATTCAACTGTTGTTGCAAAACTTATTTAAATAAAAAAATGATGTCATTTTTGGTCATATCAAAATATTTTAACTTGCTCAAATTTGTGATAGAATTATTTTTAAGCGATTTGCACTTTTAGACCTTTTATTTTGTTTATTGTCATTGATAAAAAAAAAAAATGGTTTTTTCCTATATTAACCTTCAATCCGTTGGGTGGGGTAAATAATCTCTCAACCCAAATATAGACATTATAAATGTCCCAAGATAATGTACCTATCTAATATTTAGTATAGCTATAGCTAATGTTTACATATTGACCTAACTTAATCAGTCAACAAGAAGTTTTTTTATTGAGTCAGTAAACCTGAACCGTCAAACTCAATTGTGTCGCGTTTGTAAAATAGTTACCCCGTGTGACCAAGTACAGTGAACGTGTAATTTGTTTAATTATATAATGAGAGTATGGACAAATTACGCAAAACTTAAACGCCGTGTTCACCTCATAGAAATTTGTCCAAGCTGCTTTGCAGAAATTTTATAAAACAGGTAAATATGAAAAAGTATTAATCATTTAAAAAGGTTTTTTTTTCTTCTAAGATCAGATGTTCAATAAAACTTTTGTACATAGGTATAAAATAAATATATATATATATATATATTTTTTTTTTATTTAATCAAAATCTAATGAAGAACAATTTTGTATTAAAAATAGCTTAATGTTCTTTAAATAATTTTTATAGCTACAAAAATATGTTTAAAAAATATATATATCAAGGTTTTGGACAATTGTTATGCCGCGCAACCGATAGAAGGTTAAAAATGTTTGCTCAATATTATGCAATCATCAAACTGAGTATGCTCTTTGACAATCACTGTGATGTTTCTCATTTTTCAATCCTTCGTAGTCCATTTTCATTGTAGTTTTGAAATTGTTTAGTATATTATATAATGATTGTAACATATTTTACGGTGATAACTGTTAAAATTAATATTTGCAAATTTTTATTTAATTAGCACAAAAAAAAAAATACTATTGCCGCTACGCCAAAGCTAAAAGTCAAGGGAAACAGCATCTGATTAAGTAGTTTAATTTGTTTTTTTATACATTTTTGGCCAAACAATGGTAATGAAATATATTTTGTTAATATAAATTCTAAGAGTCCTAAGCATTTAAATATGAAACCAATATGCATACTTATTGGTTAAACGACTTATTTTGTAATATTATTAAAATATTGGAAATATTGTATTATGAAGGCATTAATGAAGGTATTATGAAGACCTTGATTTCAACCTGGATGATATAGCCGATGCGACGTGGTGTAATCGTGGAACGATAGTTTAGGAAACTGGCGACGACGACGAAGCTGGTGTCGACATAGTAGCCGTGCTTAAACACATTGATACGGCAATAACGGGTGGCCAGTCATAAGCCTTTCAGGTTCAGGATGTCTTACAGGAATAAGTCTCAATAAGATGTGCACAAGCAGTGTGACGAACAATCGACACCCAACACTTGGCATGATAAAATAGTAAAAAAAAACTCGAAATACATTCAATGTAGTACTTACGAACTTGTGGTTTTTGGCAAACCTAGAGGCCGCTTTAAAGAAGGAAAATGAACTAGACATGATGTTTTAACTGCGGCCAGTAAATGAAAACTTACTATAGACTTACTAGAAGAAGAAAAAAAAGGAATGAAACGCACCTAAACTTGATCGATAAAGAAGTTCGACCTATAGCCGTCTGCAGCTGCTGCAGTACCGATAGCAAGGGCAATTTTACAGTGTGACCGGCGAAGGTATTGGAATACTCGTGGTTTTGTATGATCAGCTGAGTGGCAACACTGTCGGCCTCTCCTCCGGCAGCGGTTATCAGTCGCGTTATGGGCTCCACTTGATAACAATATTATTGCTAAGCGCAGTTATAAATTATACCTAATGGGTAATTAATTTACTTGTGACATGTTGTTTAAAGCATTGTTTGTGACAGAGTTAAAGATTAAAACATTTTATAAGTACTTGTTTTTAAAAAATATAATACATATTTTATACCGAATAATTCAAATACCTATTTAAATATTATCCATCTTATGCATAGATGTTTCCACTAAAACAGTTAAAATATATAAACAAGAAATAAAATCGGTTTGGGCTTTAAAATGTCTTGTCAAAACAAAGCGTGCTTTGCTGTTCAATGCCAATAATACTAACTTTTTCTGTCTTGGTTTTTTATAATTAATTAGGTATATAGAAATAATACTTTATTTGCAATTCAGACACTTTTAGATACGTATAATTTATATGAGATGTATTTACATAACATCTAGTTTAAATCAAAATCAGACAACAAGTATAATGGCGATAACATCTTACTATGTTTATTTAAGATATTAAAAATCATCACGTTAAAGAAATCCTCATTAGCTTTTTTGTTGCTTTCAACATGTTTCCAAACGTTCTGCAGTAAAATCGTCTTCATCTTCATTTGTGCTAGGAGTTATTTTTCAGAAAAAAAGGGGAGGGGTGACTAAAAAATTCCTTTCACAGCCTTGAGGGTTTCAGCCCTCACACCACTCCCTCCTAATTTGATTTCTTATTTTTTTCAAGTTCACAACATTTCAAATGTTATTACCAACCCAATTGTGTTTAATTTAATAGAATTTTATTTTCAGTACCTCAACAAAGTGTGCGAATCCTACAATTCTATAATATATTTCATGTTTATGCAATAAAAAAAACAATTGCATTGTAATTAAAAATGTTTTGAAGTGGTGGTGTAATCACAGAGGAAGAGGATGTAGGTATGCTGACATAATTTAATCACATAACAAAAGAACAGAAAACACAAAATACACAACTGAACAATTAGGTAGGTATTTAAATTAAACATAAAAATTCTAAATTTTGAAAATAATAAATACTTTATTTTTAAATAATTATTAAACTGTAGGAGGAGCTTTAGGATATTTCGGTAGGTGGGGAAATGTTACATGGCGCAAAACAATAATCATACATTTCTTATTTTCCTTTGTGTTATAATGAAATTACAACTTCTACATCAATAATTCTGAATTTAAGGGGAAAATAACTTTTTTTTGGAAGGGCTAAGCCCTCCTCTCCTCATATTTGCGCCACAAGCTTTTAATTTATGCTACAATATTTTATATTAAATTAGAAATACATTAGATCACTGCATAGGCGGATAGGCTAAATTATTGTTACCAGGATAATAATATATAAAAAGGTGACAAAGCTACTTGAAAGCACGCGAGACCGACTCTCCCTGAATTGCACTGAGTGGCAATTTTGATGATGGTGCTTGGGGGTGGCAATTTTTTAAGAACCAACAGAGGAGAAAAAAAAATATTTAAGTAGGATATGAAAGAGGACGCCACCTCCGCCCATTTTTAAGGAGTAAAATATAGGCAATTTTTTACAAAATCTTAACTTAGAGTTTGAACTATCGTGTATATATTATACTTAATAATACAGCAATGATGATACAAACCATTTTTTGCGGATACATTACTGATTACGGGTAGGTAGCGTCCTTTGAGAAAAAAAAAGGCTTTTTATGTATTCTTATTTTTTATAAATGGTTTTTTTTTTATAATATTTATTTTTATTAATGAAGAATGATAATTAAAATATTTGCTTTAAATGCAATGTTACATCATTGCACCCCACACGAACATATTTATTTGAGTCTATTGTTGAAAACAAAAATTACAAAAATAATAAAATTTTTATTGCCAAGGGGTGGCAATATAGTTTAATGGGGCACCGAGTATTAATTATAAATGTAGAAAATTCCTACCAAGGGTTTTGGATATCCCGGTGAGCCTATTTTTTATATATTTTCGTGTCTGTACTCACGATATCTTTTAAGCCACTGAACCGATTTCTTCGTGTAGCGGCTCTTAAGATCAGAAATCGTACCTCCAAGGTACTTATAAAACTAAAAATTTAAAAAATTCATCCCTTCCCCTTCAAAATCGAGAAAAACACAACTTAAAATTACTGCGCTCCATAATATCTTTTTTCAAAATAGTCCAATTAGTTTCAAATTTTTAAAGAATATTCTTAAAACATAGTAGGTAGGTACTACCGACAAACGTTGACGACCTAAACAATCATCGTACACCCTTTGGACTCCTAGAAGGGGTGGTATTTCTTTTGGGGTTTAGGTATGAAAATTAGACCAAAGGTAGATCTAGAATGGCCACGGGGCCAGAACATTTACAATTTCCTAGAAAAATTTGTAGTCAAAACATTTTTTTTTTTTAAGGAAAAACACAAAAATATATGGAAAAATTACACTTTGACCGTAGTCAGTTAGTTTAGCGTGCTATGTGTGTGGTTTATACGCATACTACCGACAAATTCGCATCAAAGCGTTTAAAGTGATGTTATCACTTTCAGCTGTTGTAATATAATTCCTGTAGACCTGTGACCCCACTATGCCCACTGTACTAGCTTGGGTTTTTTTATTTTAAGTATAAACGGGTAATAATTATAAATTATAATAATAGGTAATATCATGTGGGCTCGTTTGCTGATAACGGCGGCGACGGCCCGCATATCAACTACTATCGTTGTCCGCCGTCTCGGCCGCCAGCCGCCAGCCGCCGCTGCCCACTACGGTCTACGGTCTACAGTCGCATTGCCGCGTCCGACTGGTGCGGTTCGTCGTCCACATCGTCGAGCGTCAGCCATCGCACCGTGCACTAACACAAACGTGTGTGTGCGCGCCACAGCCAGGTTATTAACTGTTGTTTGTTTGTCAGACTTGGTAGTTTTAGTAGTTTTTTATTTGATGCCAGTTGAATTATAATAGTACCTTTCGCGTACTTACGGCCTACCGAGGTTGATTTAACGTGTAAAACTGTCCACTTCGAAGCAGCCGGTCGGACGAGGTGGTGCGCCGGTAAAACAATTTCCCGCTAAAAATCCTTTTTTGGAATAGTGAAAATAAATTTAAAATAAAAACCATGCCGGCCGTCTGTCTTTGTTGACGTTGACTCGGAACACTGTTGACGATTGTCAGAAATGTCCAGGAGGAAGCAGAGCAACCCGAAACCGTTGAAACGTGAGTGAATATTATTATAAAAATTGCGCCTATACGGTTTTTTGTTTTTCTCCAATAATTACATCTTGTAGTGCCGCCGCTGTTTAGTTTGTAACTAAACAATAAAACAATAAAAATACAAATTTAACGCACCTTTAAACGTCAACCAGCATGTCCTTTTGTCCGTAAAACATGCTCACGACAACCGTTAAATTGTTCAAATTATTTCATCAAGGCTCTGATAACGCGCCATTTGTTATCAGCGAGATTTGAGCTTTTTGGGTACAAGGCGCGTTCCGAATAGTATCTAAACTCTAAAGGCTAACGTTTAAGTCCAATTATATAGTCTAATATTATAATCTTACAATCGTGAAACCGTTACATACTCAAATAAGTAAAAATGTTTAAAAGTTTAGATAATAGATAATAATATCTACACAACATTAAAAAAAAAAAAAAACAGTTAAATTCGTGTACAAAATCCATGGTCAAAGTTTGAAGTAGAGTAAGACGAGTCCGATAAAATCAATTTACTTTGGTTCTAAACAAAAAAACATATTATAAATACCAAGCATGAAATCATATTATGATAACGTTTTAACGTTAAAAAATTGGGAACTTGATAAAAATGATTAAAATTTGGCTTCTTAATTAATGACTAAGTGCCGGGGAAAGGGGACAAATAATAAATTTGGCCTCTATTAAAGTTTTATCCCTTTTTTTCCTCCCCTTCCTGTCACAGATAACGCCTACGATAACAACATTAATAAGTGTCATTATTTAATGTAATTAATGCGGGGCAATTTTAATTTGTTGATCTATTAAACTGATATTACTATCAGGTGTATATTTTCATGGCTGATGTATTATAATTTAAAACGATTTTAGCGAAGTTAATCATAATATTTTTTAAAACGGTCGTCGTCGGTTTTTTAATTTTTTGACATCCGTTCAATCTAATTTCATCGTCGTCGAACATATAATATATTTTTTTTAAACGAAATCTTGTTTTCGTATTTTTGCTTTAATATTATCATTATAATTATTATTGTTGTGTATTTTATTATTATGCTCAGTCCGGGCAAGCGACCGTTGGATTGCTATCTGTCGATCGTTGCCCAGATAAGGCGAATATGGCGAAGGCAACAATAATAATATTATTATATTATATGTAGGTTTCGTGAGCTCTTCTTCTTTGGCATTAAAACGTTCTTAAGGTGAATTCGAAATGACTCTTTATTTACGACTGCTTTTTTTTATATCCATATCGGACAGAATAATAAACAGCTTAGAATTATTTCAAAAATCCATTCCTATGTTTTTATTATTTTTTATTTGACATTTTTGGGTGGACAACCGCGTTAAATATAAACGTTTGCGCTTAAATAATAAAAATAATAATAATAGGTGAATAAGTACAACAAAAAATAATTTGTGTTTCTTTGCTTTTTGCAAATTTTTGAAGAAAAAAAAAGTTACATAACTAGGGTTCGGGGATGTTGAACATCGCATCTTCTACCTATATATCTTTGGTCCCGGGCTTATGTCAATTTAATCAACTTTTCAAGACAGCCGTTTGAAAGTTTAAAAATTCCTACACGTTTTAGTATTACAACCACGAATATTATAGAAATTATGTATGTATATTAATCAAATTCTAAGTACATTTGTGACTTAAAATTCTTGAATTTACAATTATTTATAGACTTAACTGTAGTTACGCCATTTGGATTTCATTTTTTCTGACTTATGTCTTTTTTTTACGACAAGCCTTTTTGATCAAATAAATTCTGACTTATGTTATTTTTATCAAAACTTAGAATACATTAATTACCTTTCCTAAAAATGAACTCATTGTGTTATCTAATAGGTGTTTAATAACAAATTAATGTTTACTGTAGAATAATTTACTCAATAGTACATCATATAATATTTTGAGAGCAGAATTAAAGTTATCTGATAAATAGACTATATGAAAATACCTATACTATTTTGTACAGTTTGTAATAATTATTATCATTATCATCATTATTATTATTATTATTATTATTTATTATGAGTACTTTTGATATTACTAATAATGATTTAGAAATACACAGTTTAATTCTTGACTTATGCTATTTATCGACATGATAATCACGCTACAAGATGATTAAGTCATATTAAGCCTTTTATACATGTCCAATAAAGTGATACAAAATATTATGCCCTTTCTACCAAACTTAAAATTGAAAAACTCCAAATATGCCCTATCTATTTCTTCAATAATATGAGTATAGTAATATGAGTCACTGACTTAGGCCAATTGAACCAAAAAAATCAGCAAAAATCAAGTTTTAAATCTACGAAAAAAAATTGTTTTGTGAAAAATTGACTTAAGCCCTTTCTACCCGGGACTAAAAATATTGTTTTAATGATAGAACAAGTAAAATCATGTTGAAATGTATTACATTTTTTAACAAGATGTTTTTGCCGAAGACTTAGATTAAAATTAGGTAATTAATAACGAACTAAATATGGTAAATTTTTTTAAATTGCAAATAATTCGACTATTATTCAAAAATGTATAGCGTCACGATTTAAAAAAAAAATATGGTAATGTTTCACCTTTTGGCCTTTTTGAGTTCGAATTGTGACCCATAGGCTGACATGATAAAATCGGCACAGTTAAAAAGTTGTATTAAGTTAAGACACAAAAATTTAAAAAAAGAATACACAATTGTATCAATAAGACTTTTATAATACTACAATAACGGTGTTTGTGTGCATTTTTGTGGTCCCTTCCCTAATTTAAATACAGTTCAAGATGTGTATTTGTTCTCTTGAAATTTATTTTTTAAAGCACTATAATATTGGCTTGGTGATAAAAAAATAATACTACTATTAATCTTTCAATATTTTACTCTTTAATAATCTTTTTATTTACTACATTTCTATTTATAAAGTGGTTCTGTATAGGCAAATTTTGTCAAAATCTTAATTAAAAATACAATTTTTTTACATTATCAATACACACATTACACAATTTAAACAATTCATTAAAATGCAGCTATTATGAAGATGGTAACGAAAACCAACGTGTGAAAATATTGTTTTCTGTATGTTTCCAAAAGTTGAAATTGCACCAACTACTAACAAAATTGGACAGTTAAAAAATCATAATTCATTATATTATATTTACTGTATAGGTTGTACAATTTATATTCAGTGGTATTAAGTACGGGGATAATACAATTTTACTTTACAGCAAATTTTCTAAAAAAAACAATATTATTTTAGCTACCAATGTTTCAAACGATAAGTTTGTTAAATTATTTATAATAAAAAATTGTTTCTACTGTTCTGGGTAAAAATATTAGGTTTGAAGTGTGGTTTTAGAGGGTGTAACTATTGTAATGAAAATAATGACTGTCCATCAACCGGTTTTCAATGAATTATTCTTGTGTTATTTGCATTCAGAGTCGTTGGCGACGAATTGAGTGCGTCAAATGTCTGCGGTTATTGTAACATTATGAAACATCATCCCGTTTTTAATAGGGCAAATTAAATGGAAAACATCATTTAGATTGCGTTTTGACTTAATAAAAAAAAAAAATCACCTAATCCGAAACCAGCGTTTACACCTAAAACATTTTTATAATATTATACTTTTTTTTAAACCGCAAACTAAATTTTTTTGTTTTCGGCATGGCGAGTAAATAATGTCTATCGCGCATTGTATACATAGTAATAATATAATAAACTATATTATATTATATAGTGTATATACGCGCCGGGCTGCTGCAGACTGGTAAAACGTGTAGAGGTATAGATCTGTTGTCTGTTGTGCCCTTGATGTGATGTCTGTGCGATAGTCCGTGCTCTATCATCTCGGTTTAGACTACCCAGATGATCCGTGGAGATTAGCCTCGATGGGGACGCGGCGCGTTCACAATATTATCCTCGGCTGATAACATTATTGGACGACACTCCCCCGGCCCGCGATCCCATCTAAAAATCTTACCCGTTGTTACCGAACGCGGCCATATTACTATACATATAATATATATATATATATATATATATATATATATAGATAGACATCGGCTCCGGGTTGTGTGGTTCCCCCACCCCCCGTTCCTTTTCCGTGTCCATCGTTATCTCTGCCCCACGTACTACACCACCGCCACCCTCTTTTAATAATTATTATAATCTCTGCGGATAAATCTCGCCGCCGCCGCCCCCGCACGTCCCTTTCCGGTCCGATAAAAACGTATCTCCGTTGCCGGCCGAGAGCGACTAATTATTATTCGGTCACAGTTGCCAACTTTATTCTCACAGTTTGTCTAACAGTTGCCAACTTGGTACCATTTTTGATTTACCGCCATATTTAAAATAAAATAAAAAAACCAAAACGGTGTGCCCTAAACGAGGAAACCGTAATAATATGACTTTTCTAGTTCTTAACGTTTTGAGGACAAACGTCTCGTCGGTGATTTAACCTTTAATAGTATACCACTAAAAAAAAAGATACAAGTATTTAAAAAAGTTTAAAAAAATATATTCTTGCATTCATCATTATATATGAATTGACGTTTTATCTCTAAAATCGCTTTGAATGGTGCTTTTTTCTGTTTTGAGTGAACATGTAAATATGCTGTGATAGTCCGAAAAATAAATTAACCGCCTAAAAAGAGTTCTGATTACTGAACTAATAATGGTACATCACAGTTAAAGTTTCCGCCTAAGATTTTGCAAAAAATTGGCTATAGGTACCTAACTCCTTAATAAATAGGGGTTATGTCCTCTTAAAGATCCATCGGCTGGTGAGGTAGAGGTGTATATCTAGTGTTATTTGTTTTTAGTTACAAATGGTTATCAGAAACGTCCAACGATTAAACGAGATTATTTGTAATTAACAAGGATTTCTTTTTTGCTAGGTCTATGAATATAACAAAACAAGTATAAAATACATACACTGATTACCTAACCAGTATTAAATTTCTATCCGGCTTCTTTTTATCGTAGTTTGTTTAACAAAA